GTTAGCCTTAAATAGGTCTAGGCCTTCGATCATGGAGGTCAAATCAGCTTTACCGATACCACTTTTTAGGCTATATTTGAGTTTCATCTTTTTACGTGTTTTAAATTCTTCTTTTTATATTTTGCTGTGACATTTGGCCAGGACTATTTGTGGATCTTGTGTTAACGATTTACTGTCGTCTTCTTTAAGACATGCACTTTTTCTACGAAAAAAAATAAGCTTAGCGCACCGCCCCTTGGTTTATTACGAATTAGACCCGCTTAGTTTCTTGGAGGCATTTCTCTGGACTTTTGTTTCTGGATAATGGGCGAAAAAAGTAGTGTTGTACCTGGAAAATGTTTAGAAGTTGCGGTTTTTTCCATTTCACTCAAGGGGAGCTTTATTACTTTCTTGTGGCGATTATCGGCTGTCCTGGAGTTTTCAGTGCCACCGAGAGGCGTCAAACCTTGGCTTGAATTACTTATGCAAATTAGCTGGCTGCACGTTGAACGTGCAGCCAGCTAATTTGCATAATTTTTTCCAGCGCAAAGCTCGTCATGTTACTTTAAACGCCTTTCAAAGTTTTAAAATACCTTAAGAGATGTTTAATCTTAATATATCTTCAGCCAAACAGGCAAATCTCTCAGGAGAAAACTTAACGATGAATTTACCTGCTTTCTTGGATCTGAAAGGAGGTTTATCCGTAAATAGTTTAGGGAGCCACCTTAATTTGGCAAAATTGTTTATTGTTTATAGAAAGACCTAATGAGCCCTTCTTTGCCTAACAAAAGTGTCTTGTGATTGCAATTGAGGCTTGTATTTATGGGCAAAATACAGTCAGGTTAGAAATTAATGATTAAAAAGGTATTATAAAAACTGTATTACACGCAGTTGCCTTTTTGTATAATTATTCAATTCATTGTTGTTAATTTTTTTTTTTTAACCAAGGCTGTTTTTTCCAGGGAATTCTTACATCCATGTGCGTTTTTCGCTTAAACTAGTAGCCAATATGGTTTTAAGTTTTGGAATTATATCGTTAAGTTTTTCAAGGAATCTCTTTTCCCATGTATGTTTCCATGGATGATTTAAGATAATATGCGCTTTTTTGGGCTATTTGGCCTTGATTGTCATCGCAACATCAGATACCACCGCAAAGGTGTTGAGTTATTTTGAATTGTTTATAGGTTGAATTGTTTCTGTTGGAGTGTCATCTTCTCGCTTGACATAATCCATTACTCGCAGAACCGATCGTAGTGAAAAGCACGTACATTCTATCAGACTTTTAAGCTGAGTTGAAAGCGATTAAATGATATCAATAGGCTTTTGTTGAGTAATTTTTTTTTTAGATTGACTGGACTGCGGCATATTAAAAAAAACGTGAGCTATATGCAATGTTTTAAGCACTGTACTCGTCAACTCTGCAGACCTTCACTCTACTCAAGTTGAACAAAGCACCTCTGCAGACCGCAGTTGGGTGTGGCTCGTACTCTACTTGCACGCAATCGTTAAATATTTTCGAAATGTTAACTGAATAATTTTCAAGCTAAAGTTTACAACCAAGACTCCCTTTCAACCAAATCTTCGAAAGGAATATTAGCATCCAGTAATAATACGTTTGAAGCAAACTCGATGGAAAGGAGTTGGTACAACGAAAATCAAGTTAAAAACAAGAATTAAATACAAGAAATGCTAAGAGATTTTTTATCAATCGAGATTATAGCCCTACGTCTTGATCTATCAAGAAAAGGCTAGATAAATTTTAAGCATACAAATATGGATTCTTACCAAATTTTTTGACTGTCCGAGCGACCTGAAAGTAATCCGTGTACGTGCCACCTGGGAACAATCGATACTCCCTCTGAATATAAATGCTTTATTACATTGTGATTATCACTAACATCAGGTGATGGTACCACTCATCTGATAAGGAAGGAGAATTGACATTTTGGTGTAAAGTAAATGACTGCAATTTTTTTTGACAAACAGCTATAATCTCTCAGCTAACTATAAAAACTAATAATTACTACATTATTACTGTAGTTTTACTTAATACCCCAGGGGTATCCAGGTTAAAGTAAAGTATAGCAAAATAAGGTGCGGAGGGTGGCAGAATTATCGGAATGAAACCACTTTGTCATTTTTTAAGTTTACGTCTGCCATTTTATTTTCACCATCGGATGGATTAATGTAACTACTATTAAAATTTTTGAGGCGCATGGGGCTGGAAATTTTTGCAAAGTGATAACTTCGATAGCCTTCAGAATCGTTTAATAACTAGCAATAATCTCTAAGCTGACCTTGAAAACTTCTATCGACGGTTAGTCGCTGTCTTGATTACGAGGGACCTTTAGCAGTTAGGACGGCAACGCCAAGGAAGACGTCAATTTAAAAATGATTATATATTTTCTGTTGGAAATTCATGAATGACTGGAGTGTTCACCATCTCTTGCGGTACCACAAGTTAACTTCAGCATAACGTATGATAGCGGCGTTGAGTTCCAAGTGGAAACTTAAATAATTTGCCGTCGGGGTGTCTTTTCTCGAACCACGCAAATTTTGATGATTTCACGTTATTATTTTTCAGAAGAAAATTAAGAAATGTATACAGTTTTAAAACGCACGTGCTGAGCTATTGTTCTGCTCATTAGATCTTTTGTTTTGCCAAGTCCTCGTTTCTGTCGCCGTCATGGTTTGCAAAAGGTCCTAACTTCAGAGACCAGGGGAAGGTGTAATAATAAATGGTATTAGGACTGAGAGGAGTCTAATTCGGTCTGTAATCATACAAGTGATTACGTTTACAAATTTGGACGACCGCGAAGCGGGAGTCCAATTTATTAATTACGAATATAATTACGGAGAATTAGACGACACAAAGTCCTGTTACTAGTTGATCAAAACTATGAGAAAATTTAGGAAAGAAACTAGACATCGGTTATACGCTTTTCATGAAAAAAAACAACAGCGGGCGCTTTTGACGCGTACTCTCTACTTGGAGACGCAATATCGTAATCAACTGTGATATTTGTTTATAATTCAACATAAGAACAGACATCTTCTGCTTCAGTTGAAAGAAGACACAACATTTTTAAGCCGTCATCTCCAGTTTAGATTAACGCAAAGTTCAAAGTTGAATTTATGATGCAACAAAGGTTGTTTATTGATAAAACCACATAGGAAATATTGACAATGTCGGTTTACAAAGAAAGTTTTCGACATGATACAGTAGACGCTTTATTGTGGGCTTTTCCCCTTTAAATGTGATTTATATTTTCTGATCATAAGTTTGGAACCACTAGAAGCGTAAAATGCGAAAAAGAAAAGGAAAGAGAGAGAGATTGAATTTTTTAAAATTTGCATCAGTGACAGGTCCGATCAGCAACTGGGTGCTAACGCAGGCGTAACGACAATGTCACCTCAGACCCCCCACCCACCCACCCCACCCACCCCACAAAATTTCATATTCTATTCTCCCACTCGCACAACAAACATCATCGATTTTAAAGGATGAAACAATCGCTTTGATGTCTAAGCTGCTCTTGTCAGAAACTATTACTACTTATTTTTAGGTTGACTCAGAGTTCTTCCTAATTTTTCATAAATATAAGTAGTAAATCATGTCTCAAATTGTGGATGACAGCAATTGGTTGTTGACAGGTGAACTGCAATTGAAGAAATTGCTAGAAAATGAAACCTGAAAACTCCCAGGTGTTGACGGGATGCGAACCTGAGCTACCCAGACACCAGCCGGCCGATACTGCCACAGGTGGCCCAAGCTCCAGCTGTGAGATGATCATTTTGCGTAATAAGTGTCATGGCGAAACTATGAAAGTTTGTTTGAGAATATTTACGACCGCTCTTAGGAGCTAAAAATGTAGTCAAATTCTCGATAAAAAATGCCTCACCTTACTTCCACAGTGCATAGCTTCTTGTCTGACTGCTACTTTGTTGAAACGAGGCCTCTATAACGAGTAATCCATTTCTAGGTGTTCTACTCTCAGGATAAGTTCAGCATGCGACATAGTTTTTTCAAGTTACATTCTCGTACTACTATTATTGCGTTTTTATCTCTCTCCCAAGGAAACAGTTGCAATGCATAAGTTATTAAACTTTGCAGTTTGAAAGTGCATACAAGAATTAGGTTGAGCGTCTGCTTCAACAAGTTTGTAGAATTTTCACAAAGATAATTTCCTATGAAAAATTGATTCAATTGCGAGACTTGTGTCAAGAAACGATTTGGACTGTGCTTGTTTGTGAAATGTTGTATCAGGGCGTTTTGCTACTCAATTCTGCGTCTGAATGAGTTTTCTCCATGAATCCGTTTACGCATGCTTTTCAGTCTCATTCTTTACTGGAAAGAGGCATTGTTCTTTACATGATCCAGTTTTTCGTTTGTGTTCCAATACAGACAACACGACTAACAAAATATTGTAAAAACACAAGGTTTCATTCGTGTCCAAGCTGGGGTCAGTGTGTTTTTTTATTGGCTTTACCTTAAAATGACGTTTTTCTACGTGGCTTTTTGTTTTTATTCATACTTAGATCCCGAAGAGCTGGCATATACACTCGATCCACGTTGATTTCGCAAACGGTGCAGAGATCGATTTGATGATCATGGAAGACTTGACTGAGTTCTTAAGGAGTTATACCGGCCTGAAAGGTGTTGGAGGAAATTTTTCATAGAGACCAGAAAAAAAACCAAAGATGAGAGATTCTTACTTGGTATATGCAAAAGCTAGATATAAGGTTGTTTTAATTTTTAATGAAAAGTTGGCATTGATTTCTTCAGCCTGGCTTCATAAGTAGCGACGATTTTTAGCGTCTTCCATTCAAGTTTCGGTTCTGATGATAACAGATTACATTGATAACCTCACATCTGTCTAAACTGTGGCCCCAAGTTTACCATGCAATAAAAACTTGAAAGCCCACATTCAATTTTACGGTTTAAGCCTACGGTCCACTATCATCAGTGAGGAGCATTTTCTCTTTCACGAGTTACTTTGTCTCAAATGGAAAGGTATTTGCAAAAAACAAACAAACAAACAGATGAACAAAACGGTCACCGCCGCGCCCAAACTGATTGAGAACTGTCCCTCTAAGCGCGCGACAGGGAATTATTGCATACAGATGACCTTTTTATAGCCCGACGGACTAAGCTACGAAAAAGAAATTCTCTTATTCTATCTGAATTAACAATCTGATGCCTTTCTATCAGATCGTTTAGCGATTTTCGCCCTCGTCCTTTATATGGTAGTGTCCCATCCATATTACAAGACCGGAGTTCTTAACTCAAGGCTTTCGAATCCAAATTGCTATCGTGGTTGAGATACCCAGGATGAGAAAAATAACTAGAAGCAGTCGATCCATCGCTTCTGCTATCTCTCTCCAAGAGTCCTTCCATTCGCACTGTTCTCTCTTTTCCTTCATAGTATTGACAATGTATTGCAATGCCGATTCGTCAGCGCCTAGTGTGTTTTCCGCATTTTTTACTTCGTTCTCTTCTGTTTCTTGAGGATGTGACAATGATTTTGACCTTACAAACACTGTGTTGCTTGTTCTCTTTCTTTCGTTTCGCCTGAGCACAAACTTTGCAAACTTGACTAGAGACGCCGAAGGTTTTCTCTCGGCGAAGTGGCACCGAAGCACGACGACTGTACCCACGAGGCTGAACCCGATAAGAAATATAGTCGACATGTAATACAACCCAAGAATCGCTACATCATCGGATGTTTCCGGCAAAGAATCGGCCAAAATCAGGAGATAGACACTCATAGAGAGCAATATGGTGATACAAAAGCTGATTCTCTCGCCACTATCGGGAGGGATGATAAAGTTCAGTATTACAAGGAGAATTATCACCACACAAGGCAGGATCTGGTACAGTATATGATACAAAGTTTTGCGCCGAAAATGGAACGAATAGATGATATTAGAGAACGGATAGTCGCAGCAGTCGAAATCTTCATCGACAGTTTCTATTATCACATCCTCCAGAGTCCAGTCCCCACTCTCAATAAACTTTTCTGACAAGAAAAATAAAGTAAAACAGTTAACTGCGGGGAGTTCCATTCAGACTCGTACCCAGACTTCTTACTACTGGAGGACTACAACTCAAACTCATCCCACATGTAATGACAGGTCTGGGAATGGAACCCAGGCCACAGCGGTAAGAGGCGAGTAACTCACCGCTGCATCATTTGCGCTTCTTGCATCCCCATAACGTACTGATTATTTCATTACTCCAACCAACCTGAATGTGAATATTTTCCAGCTGGATTGATCATTCTCAGTAACCTGCTGTCATATGTCCATGAACCAAACGTTAATTTACATTCCTGATTGTCAAACGGGTAAAATTTTACTCTCATGTCACAGGAGCTTTTAAATGTCGCAGGAGACATCCATTTATTGGTTCCATCGCTGTAAACCATGACGTATGTCTTGAACTTTTCTTTGAACCCTGACAGCGTTACATCTTCATCAGCACTGATTAAAAGGAAATAAGAATAAGAGTGGGATCATTTATTTCCACAATTTGGAAGTAACTTGGGCTTTAAAAAACAAATGTAATCATTTTGCGTCAGCCTATGTCAAAGATGCTAATTGCGTATCACAGTCCCGTAAGGAATAAATTTGAAAACACTTTGGTACGTGCTGTCTGCTGCATTTTGCGACACCGTTTTTTTTTCTTTTGTCATTTCCAAGCAAACTGACAATCCTGTTTTTTTTAAATTTGACATTGTGGTATAAGCTGCTTGCAACCACGTACACTGTTACCTGGGTATTCCTCTTCTTCTTCATTTCTAATAAAGAAATGGAAATGGGTGAGGAGGGGGGTGGGTTGGGGAGGGAACAAGGCCACGCCTATTCCTCTTTATTCAACAAGTGATGTGTCCCACACGGATTCGCTTTTCGAACCTTTCAACTGGAGCCTGTTTACGGAATTAGGAAAGAAGGAACGAATTCTAGTTATACCAGTAGTAGTATGAGCATTAACTTCTTACTTGTTGTAAAGAACTGTGTCCGGGACCCAAACATCATGAGGTGACATTTGCAGTGTATGTAACCCTTCGTAAGCAGATTCATCCCACTTTAAGTAAGGATTTTTCCACGACTGTCATGAAAAAGACAGAGGAAAGTTTTTCAGTGCCGTCTCTTTGCGGAGTATTGGGTAAGGATACGCTTTCCTTACAGGTTTAATTGAGTTCGATTTTTAATCAAAGCTTATCTACGAAGGTGTCAGAAGTGAGGAAAACTTCTGGATAAGACTAGTTTTAAATTTGAAGAGCCTGTTTTGTGTTTTATTTTGGTTTGTCTTGATTTTGTTTGGTTTGATCTATTGCTCGGTTTTGTTTTTTTTTTAGTTTTCTTTTTTTTGTTTTTTCTAAGATTCGCCGCCTTTTCTTCGTCCCTCATATTTCTTTTACCCTTTCTTCATTCAATTCCAACTTCCCTTTCGTTCGTTTCCCCTCTCATTCCCAGCTTACTCGCTTCCCCCTTATCCTCCCTTTCATTTCGCTAGTACCCAGTGTTCATCTCTTTCTTTAGGTCATACCATCTCCTTTTGCCTTCTCTCCCCTCTCAAAGTCAATTTCCGTCACTTTTCATGCCTGTGTTGGTGTAATAATTTACTATTAAGAGACTATGGAAACATACCTGAACAATCCAAGCGTCTGTAGTAAGAACCTGATTTTTTATGTCCTAAAATGAAAAGGAACGGAAAAAATAGGAAGAACTTATACCTTTATTTTCTTTTATTTCATATTTCATTTGTGATTAGGTAGACATGGATATTCAGAGAGTGGGCCAATGTCAATTCCCTAGGTTTTTTTTTTTTTTTTTTTAATTTGAGGGAAATTGAAGTACGTGACCTATAATTTTTATTCAGAGGCAATATTGTAAGGAGAAATGAGATGGCAGTCACTCTGAGGGGTCAAGGGGGTTGAAGAAAATTGGCATGTTCCAGGCCAGGTTCGGGAACCTTTCTGGCTCTTCCATCATTTAGTGAATAACTACTATCGCAGAATGGACTTCTAAATAAATTCATCTTCGTCAAAGCGGAAGAACTCTCCCTTACCAGTGAAACGATCCTGCTAAAGCGGAACGAAAAAGTGATATTAATGATGTCATTGGGTGTGAGCACAGGCCGCACAGTAGGATGGTAGTCCTGTGATAGGTTGTGACGTAATCTTTGCTCAGGTGTACCAAGAGTTGCAGTCACGCAATCTGTGGATATTGAAAAAAGATTTGACTGAAATTGCGATCAGCGAAACCGTGTCAGTGAACAACCACATAGCTCCTGATTCATTGTGTCAACAATGATCTGTAAGGTTATCTCTTTTTTAATCAATCATTCAAATTAGTTGTTAGAATCTTGAAAACAGTTAGCTTTAGATTGTATAGGGAATCGAACCCTCTATCTGATCGTTTCTCTAAGATGTCCGCTCTTTTATAACAGTTCATTCCTTTCATTTCAACCCTTCAACTACCGTTCATTACGCGACCAGACCCAGACCCCCTCGTTTCTGACACTCCTCCGTTTACTGAACTCCTCGAACAGGCTACTAACATGTTGGTGCAAAACCAAGACGTCACAATTAAGCGCTTTGCCTTGCTTGGTTCCACTGCACTGTGATTTGCGTCTACTGTTGAGGCAGGCTCCTTTGTGTGGGTTTATTCTGCTCGAATAAACCTTCAACGCAGACCATTCTCGCTGAATGGTTTCAATTAAGTCTTCGAGGTCAAAAGAACAGCTGTCCTAGTCCCTCTCTTGGAAAGCATCCTATCTTCCTGCTGCGTAACTATGGTAACTATGATTACTATTGCGCGAAGGTTGTTCAAAGTATGGAAGTTTGTTATAAACTTTTGTTTGTTTCCTGACGTTTAAATCGTGACGATGGCGGTCTGCTTCCTGACGCTTATTTACACCTCGTCAGAAAAAAGGCCGCTAATTAGTGATCATATAAAAGGATCTCTTGTTGCAGCGTTTAGATCACCCCTGATGAAGGCACTAGACAGGAATGTCGAAACGTTGGGTCTATGAATTGTAACTTCTTCGGTTACATTCATTAAATGTGCAAACCAGTGTAGCATCAAACTATGTCTGATTGTCCACCTGGTTGCCGTGTGAACTTTAATATAGTTTGTTATAAGTTAAATCCTCACGAACCTTGCCAATTGAGAAATTTGAGTGAGTCAATCCTCACCGCAGTTGAGTATGAGAGAAATGCTTCATCCCAAACGCAATTAACATTTATAAATCCAGTCGACGTAAAAACTGCCCTCTTTAATTAAGTGAAGCTGTCTGAGTCACGTTCGATGGCAGCCTGTGGTTCTGAACGTGACCGCAAGTCATTAGTTGGGCCGCCATACAGCTCGCACTCAAAATAATTACGATAGAACCAGCAAAAAAATAATTTTGAAAACTAGAAAGAGCTAGAGAGCTAAAACTCAGACGGGCCTTTAGGATGAACTGGTGATAGCAGACATGCGTAGTTCATGATGATTATCCCTAAAATTTACGCGAATGAAAATAAACTTCGTTTGCATTATAAAAGGTGTTGACTTGCATGTCATTATTTCTTGACACGAAATGTAAATTATGGGCACATTGCGGTCTTTTATTATTTTTAATACCTACACATTGCTTGAATTAATCACACATTATATAGAACGTACACGTTACCCAAAAATGTAAAATGATGTGATGTGATGATGTGAAAAATCATTTTTTAAAAGGGGAAGCAACTACAGATTGAAGATTTAATCCACAATGATCGAGATAGCAGTTTTGCACTTGACCGGAACTACGTTGACCGGAAGTTACACGATAACATAACACGACGTGTTTTGTTGACAGCTTCATTTGACCCTCTCAATCATTCGACTTAAACACCAAGTGAGTAAGTTTAGTTTTATGTCTCCTGGACAAAATGGCATCATCAGAGACCAGAATCATGACAAAGCGAAGTGAATTTCAACACATTGTTCAACAATGCGAGGACAGTTTCGACGAAAGTGAAATTTCCTCTACAATTGGAACTTTGGAAGCCGGACTAAGGGATGTGGTGAGCGAGGTACGGGGGCTACATCAAGATATGGACAACATCGAAACGGAAATTGAAAATTTGAAGAAGAGAATGCTCGACTGCAACAAGCTGGCAGAAAAAACAAAAGAATGAGAATATAATTGTCACAGATGCGATGGCAATTTTGTTCGTGCGGAAACCGCGAAGATACAAAATGCAAGAGTTGATCTTAAAAATATTGACAATGTTGTGGTGAACTTTAAGAGCCTTTTTATGGCGCCATGGAGACTCTTTGGGAAATCATGCCCCAAAGTGACTAAAAACATTTAAGAAAAAATACGATGAATGTGTTAGGTAAAGCAGGTTTGAGATTTCAAAGAGTAATTTTGTATGCAAAAGATGTTCTATTTTTAACATTTTTTTTTGGTGACAGCTTAATAATGTTGTATAATGCGTAGTGATAATTTGCGAAATATCAAGAAAAATGCCATAAACAATATACTGAACTGTAAAAATGGTTTTGCAGAGGTGACTAAATAACACGGATTTATCATGAACTCAGAAACACATTAAAATAACGATGGATTTTATAGTTAGAATGTTTTCAAATCAAATTAGTCTACTTAAGTTGTAGAAATTTACGTCACACACAGGCCTTAGCTTGTAGGGCACTCTCCTGTTTGGAAAGCTAATTACAGTAAAAATAGAATTTATGACGCAATTTTAAATTGTAGAGCCTAGATACATTTAGGACCGCCTAAAGGTCTTGTCGTCAAATAATGCGACTCTATTTTTAAAACATGAAAAATTTGCCGTTAACCTGAAAATCTGTATAAACAAAGCATCACGGAAGCTCTTGCAGAGAGCACTTTTGAAATATTGGATTACCAAGTTCAAAATGAGAATCTTGACCCTTGCGAAAACGTCAAAAACTCCGGCGATATTGTAGAAACGAGTAAATTTCTCAGTACTCGAAAACAAGAAGCCATTTAAAAATTACTATGAAGGATTTAAAATTTCCAATCATTCCTAGATAAACAATCACGCCTCTGAGTTCTAAAACCCAAAAGTGCTTGAAGAAGGTGATTGCCGTAGGAAAAAACTCGAGGGTGATGGCACTCTGCCTGACTAACAGAACAGACACTACTTCAACCACCGCTTAAGCAATATTAAATCTTTTTTTTTGAAAAATAACTACTGACTCTGTAATCCTGGTTTTTATCACCTTCACAGCGCATTTTTATTCAAAATTTTCACCCTTGGCTTCTTTATCATTAATTTTTAATACATTTGCGAGTTCCCAGCATTTAATCAACGGCTGTATCATGGAGTCATATGTGTTGAGAATATTTAACCAGAAAATAATTGTAATTTTTTTTATCATGTTTAGCCCTGGTTACTCATTTTTATTTTGTGGATTTTTTCTAAAAATTTTGTTAAGAAGGTAAGACCGACAATCCCGACATTCCCGACAATCCCTACAATCCCGACAATCCCTACAATCCCGACAATCCCTACAATCCCGACAATCCCGATTATCCCGACAATCCCGATAATCCTGACAATCCCGACAATCCTGATAATCCCGTTAATCCCGTCAATCCCGTCAATCCCGTCAATCCCTACAATCCCGCCAATCCCGAAAGTCCCGACAATCCCGTAAATCTCGACAATCAAGTGATGTTACACCGGGAGGGTGAACTATATAGTACTATCATGAGCCAATGGGCTCCTGGTTCTTTATATCACTGCTTTACTATTTCCTCTCCGCGCTTGCGCACCTATCCCAAAATCAACTACGTCTAAAAAGCAATTACCATACCTTAAAAACCATTTTTAAAGTGCCTGCATTGAAGAATACTGAGTATTTTGATGAAGCCGAAATAAAATTTAACCCTAGGTTAAAACAGGTAATATTTTCATTTTTATCATTTCAACATGAAGCTGACGGTTTTGATTTAACTTTTGCCCCGCACTTAATCAGCCACGTTTGGCGAGTACATTTAAGACCATGCAGTGAGTTTATAAATTTGTTTTTTTTTACTTTATGTGACCTCTTTTTTATCAGTTTATAACTGGACAAAATATATTCGAACGACAAAGCTATGGGCGGCCGTCACCGCCAAAAATACAGGCATAATTAATGATTTGTAATAAACAGAAATGGTCTAATTGTATTTTGGAGAACGGTCTATCTTATCTCAGAAGATTTCAGTATTTAAAATACAAATGGACACGTCACCATTGGTGAAATGGCTTAAGTTATCGGCAAATGGTTAATCGTAAGCCGCAGAGGCTTAGTATCGCATCAATCTATTCACCGTAAAGTGAAATGGTTTAGCGTGACCCCAAATGGTTTAGCGTGACGACAAAAAGTTTAGTTAAACCGAAATGGTTTTAGTGTTACAGCAGTTGGTTTACGCTGTAACTGCCAAAGTGGATACGTCAAGCTTGAAATGGAACAGTCTATGTGAGGTCTTACGTCACAACCCTTACGTCATTCACATCGAATTTGGCGCGAAATTCGCCAGAACGATCGCGGTAACGAGGTATTCGCCACGCCGTCCACTCGACCTTCAACACAGGAAGAATTATTTCTGTGGCCTCGTCTTCTTGACTCAGCGAGCCTTATTCCGGTAATAATCATTTTTTATGTTTGCCTATTTTCGCTTGTTAGCGAATAAATTTATACCCTCATCATCTTCCCGCAACATTAGTAAGTAAATAAGTATTTCGTATGAAACCGTTTTCATCGAGCTGCTGAACATTCAGTAACTTAATAATCAGTTAGTGAAAATGAAAGTAAGCTTAAGCTTACATTTCACAAAAACGTATTTTCCTATCGTTTCAAACCAGATATTTTTCAGTTAATCTCCAATTGTTACGGCTACTGCCTCCTATGGAGGCGAAGCCATGTTGCTGTCCTGTTGAATGAGTTAGTGATGGTAACAATAGAATACGAACGACCTCTCCATCCACAACGAAGTCTACCGAGTTTTACCCGATATTCCTCGCTCTTGGCTTTTGTTTGTTTCGGAACATCTTCGGTCGTCCAACGCCTAGTGACGACTTCTTTGAATCGCTTCGAATGTTACACGGAATATAAGTAGTTGAGTGTTAATTATCCACTATATTCTTGAATCATCTTTCTCTTGTGGAACAGGGCTTTCATAAGTATGTGGGATGCGTTTTTGCATGCGAGACAAATCTTCTGCAACGCTACCTTATCATCATACAACCCCTTGTTCTTTTCAATGCTACAGAAAAATTGTGCTATATCAGTAGCCATATGCAGTCCAGCCTAACTGTCTATTTTTATAGTTTTTAAAACAGGCTAAATTAAGCCGCAACTATTAGAGATTTTATCTTGAGATCGTAAAATTCCTAATAGTTGCGGCTTAACCATGTTGGGAGTTCAAATTGCTATCAGCCAGTTTCAAATTATTTTTTTTGTTCTTTTTAGTTTCTTACAGTGAAAACTGCTGTTCTTTAAATGGAGAATTATTATCATGGTTACACCTCAAGATAAAATCAGAATCTGAAACAAAAGGAATGACGAAAATACAGATAAAATGCATCACTTTACGCGACAGCGCACTTACAGTCTAGACTGTCAGAACCACTGCTAATAAACGTGATAAAGCGATTCATTGTTTTAAGACGACAAAACTACATCTAAAGGGCGCCTAAAAACTGTTTAAAACTATATAGTTAAAAACTACATAGTTATAAATGGTTTATAGTGAAAACTGCTGTACTTTAAATGGAAAATTCTTACCATGGTTACGCGTGACCATCATAAGAATTCTCCATTTTACTACCTCAAGATAAAATAAGAATCTGAAACAATAGAAATGACAAAATATTGATAAAGTGCATCATTTTACGCAACGGCACATTTAAAGTCGAGACAGTCGGAACCATAGCTAGGAAACGTGATAAAGCGATTCGTTGTTTTAAGACGACGAAACTACAACTAAAGGACGCCTAAAAACTAAAGACTGTTCCATTTCAAGCTTGACTTGTCTATTTCACTATTGTATTTTTGGCGGTTACGGCGTCAACCAACTGCTGTAACACTAAACCATTCCAGTTTGTACTAAACCATTTGGGGTCACGCTAAACCATTTCACTTTACGGTGAGTAGATTGATGCGATACTAAGCCACAGCGGAATTCGAAGGTATGAGATTCGATTCCTCATGGGGACTCGGAATTTTTTCTTTGTTCCACGCTCGTGACAAGACGAAAAACATCTTTCTTTAGGACACGAAGTTTTATTACCAATTCGCATGATTCCGAGTGCAATTTGGAATAAATAAGCACGAGTAAATTTTTACAAGACTAACGAAATTGCACTCGCCCTATGGGCTCGTGCAATTTGTGCAACCAAAAAGCAGTGCTTTTTATAATATTTTCGTTGTTAGAGCTGTTTTTCAGCTGCTGTATTGTTGTTACAGTGGTGAAACTAAAACCTACTTAAAAACGCCGGCCATTGTTTCGCTCGCCAATTTTTAGCGTATCCAAATGTTGCCACATCCAAGGCTCGCATTTGATTGGCTATCAGTGAGTTTCTTTTCTTATTGACCAATCAGAATGTCTGGTTTTGTTACTTCTTTGCACTGAATTGACCCTATTTTGGATTTAATTACCTGCAAACTGCATTTATCTTAACCAATCAGAGCTGAGTAATTTTTTCATGTATATTATTAATCATAAAAATTACAATTTCCGAGAAAAGAAGAATGACTAAGTTAGGGGGAAAAAAAAAGGAAAAATTGCATTAAAAGACTGACAAAGGAGGCGTGAGTCTGAGAGAGTCTAAGAGTCTGAGGAGTCCGTACACTGTTTCCACGGCGATTAATACCAAGGTTGTGATTGGTTGATTTAAGCTACAGTTTTGAATGTGATTGGCTCATTGAACTGTCTGATAACAACTTGGCAAGTGAATTAGTGGAAAATGGGAGTTTTTTAAACCAATCACAGTCGAGGAAATTGTAATTTTCATGATTTTAATGATAGTAGCAATAATATTATTATAATAATAATGATCATGCTGATATTAAAACGCTGTAATAATAGAGGGCAACACTTGAAATAAATAGAGATACTGAAAATCCTGTGGCCCTGCGTCATCTTAAAAATACATCACTGAAATAAATACCAAATTGAAATTGAAAATAGCACATTTATGCAATACTATGTCGATGTTTTTTGTCTTTGATGACAATTTATAGGTAAAGAATGTTTTAGATCCATTATGCAGGGTCTATTCATGTTTCTACGTGTTTTGTCTTTATTTGCTGTACACAGCATGTCCTCTTTGAGTTTTAAGATGCTTTGGTTCTTAAAGATGCGTAAATAGAGATTCATTGATTTTAGTTTAAAATAATGAATAAAAATACCCATTGAAAAACCTTCTAATTAGTCGCTTTGACTTCGCCACATCGGCTGAAGAATTAGTTGATTCTAATTTAAGGGAACTTTTTAATCTTCTCGAAAGTTCAGCGTCAAAATATATTTGTAACCTAAGTAACACCTGGCTGGCTATGAGATAATTGAAATGAAAGATGGACTATTCAAAGGAAAGCTAGGAAGCATATCCGCATTGAATAGAGCATTTTTCACGCTGAGAGAGTATTTCAGTCGTTTTGATAGCAATACATCTGCTTCCACACTAGGCGAGAAGTCAGAGATTGAAACTAAGTGCTTAATTAATAAGTGAAAATGATGCCATTAATGGTTTCAACATGATTTATTGCCATCATCCTAAAGTAATCACCAAATGTAAAAATGCCCATTTTCAAGATCTGCTCTATCATTTATAATGCACGATTAAGTATATTTTTACGTTACAATCTTCGTGCGTCATATGCAATGCCGATTACATCGGTTTTGTTTCGACGTGTTCAACTAATAACAGAATGGTGAATTTTTACTTTCCAAATTTTAATAGTTTCTTCTTAACCACGTCATGCACTGAGATAAAAACAGGTTTTATGGAAATAAAGGTTGCCTTTAGTTAAGTTTATGTTGAATTTTTGCAAATTGCTTTTAGATGCTCGTATCACGCAGGTATCATTCATTTAAGTTTAACAAAATCTTATCAGGTACTGTTGTCATTGAGGCAAAAAAATCGTAATTTTTTTTCCTTTTTAGCTCAAAATATAGTTGCAAATGCAAAGGGTATTTAAGAAATGTCAAAGGAAAAAGATGAAATAATGTTATTGTTGATATTAAATTTAAACTAGCTAAAAAACAACGAAAGCAACCCCGACTCTAGTGGTGATCACATTATATCAGCAAAAATTTAAACAGTTTCGGAAGATTCTCATCAGTTAACATGTAGTTGTTTTTTTTTTCTTTGATAAATGCTTCGAATGAATACCGAATGAACTGATCTTCTCGAAAATACTTTCATTTCTGTCCAGTATCAACGCGACTGGAGATAACAGAAAATGATCAAACGCTCTTTGCTGAATATTTACGGCATTTTATGGACTACGTGTGTTTTAACGCCATAGTGTTACAGTTTCAAAGAGGTATTATGGTTATGCAATGTTTTTCAAGGTTCCCAACATTGGAAAAATAAGCAGACAAAATTTATTCTTCCTCATAAACTTTTTGCTAATGGTTACTACTATTGAACAACCTATAGACTCACCTTTCCTTGAAATTAAAATAGCAGATAACATCCAAGGTAACATTAGGACTCCAGCAAACATTATTTTAGTTTCAGAAGGACGTTTTACTTTCCACACACTAAAGAAACCTTGTCAAAGCTGCCCCCAAGCTTGATAAATTATTATCATAAATTAAATCATTCTGTATTCGGTGTTTACGAATTGCGCCAAACCGCCAGCTGGTAGCTGTTATGATCTTGTCTCTCTCACGATGATATAATTATCTAATGCCCTGCCCCCGCGGCTCAATGCCCGGGGGCAGGACACAAGATCCCACATGGACTGAGTGCCCGTTTAAATGCAGTCAGAAATTTTCATATGATTTCCACTAAATAATTCTTTCAAACTTCCTAAGAGTATCAGATGTTTTTGGTCTAGACATTTCAAGCGATTCCAATAGTTGTTTTGACTTTTTAGTGGACAAATTTTCCAAACTTGTGCATGCTGTCAAACTGTTTGGCTGTCGAGACTTAAAAGCATTCGCGAAAGCATTTCCTGGAGCGGTTTCAAATAAACTAAACTGATGCATGTCCGGCAGTCAGAATTAAGAATTATTCACCGCACTCCCACTGAAAACCTAATGCGAACCTGATGAGTGTGTTCAAAGTTTGATCAGAAATGCCAAGTGATTCCAAAGATGTCAATATTTTTTTTTCAGTGGAAGATTATTGCGAGCTTGTGTATATCACAATGTTAATCGCCAGAGTTGAGCCACTGCCTAATTTAATTTCACAGCAAGCCACCAGAATACAAACATTTTATTTTGAATAAAACTCATCTCTTCAATTGTGTTTATCATGAGTAAAGAAGAAAACGGACAAAAACTTCGATGGCACATAAGACTGCAATTTGGCGCATAAGCGGATTAAGAGGTGAAAATTTAGCACTTCGAAATTAAGGCCCTTTCCACTAAACTGGAAAATTATTGTTAATAATTCTTCCCAAATATGTTTCTTGGCAAGAGTTCCCTGATGAATTCTTTCGATATTTCGGACAAACGTTTCCTTAGGAAAAAGTTTGCATCACAAGTTTTTAACGCCTTCTTCGGTATAAATAAAAATAAAACAACTTTTTTCTGGCAAAGTTCTCTTTCCTCTTAAGTCAATAAAGATACATGTTAAAACTTAGCATTTACACCAGCCAAGGAAAAATTTATCAACGACGAATTTTTCTGAAGTAAATAACTGGGCAAGTAAAGTAAAGCTTCCTTCGACAAATTTTCACTAGCAGTGTAAATAACACTAATTTTTTCCTGTACACTTCCTATTAGAAAACCTTTTCGTGTAAACGCCTCGCTGGCTTGCGCCAACCGAGGTGATTTTTGGCTTTACAAAACAATTTTCTTTCTCATAATGCTAGGGATTACTTAGATGAAAATTTGAGATAGTCATACGGTATTTTACAAGTAATGAACTTTAACAGACATTTCCGCGACGTTTCCACCTTTGATATGACACATCATCATGACTGTTTATTATTTTGTGGTCAAACATATCATTTTCATGTTTTAAAGTTATGATTTCACTCAAAGCCGCGTGTTTTTGTTTCGTTTTAAGTTTATATGTGGTTAGTGAAATAATATAATATAGTTCGGCTTTCACGAACTAACTTTCCCTTTTTATCTTGATAAGAACTTTCAAAAACATTTGATTTCATTTGCATCAGTTTGGACTAAAAAAAAAATTGATGAGCGCTTCTGTACAAAATATCTCAGACTCATGTCAATGTAAATCGCGGTCTGTCTTGATTTGACGTTCAGCAAGGTGTATTGCAAATGTTTTGTATATTTATGCAAGCTGTTTACTCGGAAATTTTTTAATAGGCGCATATATTTTTGTTGTGGTATAGTTTTCCTTCTTCATAACTAGTACTGGAAATAATTAAATTCTATCGTCCATGACATAAATTTATAACTTTATCAATTTATTCATGGTAAGCTTAAGTCGAAGAACCTTTACCTAACTCCGCTTGTTCACGATTCAAAGCTTTCTTACGAGGCTCCTTTATTAAAAAAAAAATAAAATAAAATAAAAAAAGACATCTTAATATTACTGATGAAGAGGAGAAACTTAAAAAGCCGAAAGAAAGTCTTTTCCACTCTTGTCATATATTTTTGCAAAGAAGGTAACAGGTAACTATCAAATTCATGTATCTGATAGAAAAACAGACAAAATTAACTGACAAAAAGAACATGCACATGATCTTCGCAGTAATGACATTATAACATTACTTGAGCAGTGGTGAAAAAAAGTGTTGAAAGACAAAAGTGGCATCTAGCAAGAATTTTCACTATAGGTGATTTTTGACTCATTTGAACGTGAAAATAAATGGAAATAATATATTAGTATAAGCCATTCAATAAAAATTATAGTAAGCCAGTAGATCATTTCTTATTCCTTTTGGCGGTCTTATCTTACAGGTATTACTTAGCACGATCGACACCTCTTTTTCTTAGAGGTGTCTTAAGGTGTAGACATGTAGTGTTTTTCATCTTCCGCACTGAATTTATGATCAGGTAATTTATATGAATAGCACGTAGCTCTTTTGGGGGCGGTGCCTTGGTTACGTCCTTTCTTCTCCGAATTTTCTGTTTATTCTGTCGTTATGTGACAGTCTTCGAGGATTATTTTCTCTCAGGATATCTCCTCAACTTCGATTTTAATTCTGTCAGTAAGTTTATTATAATTTTTTTTATTAGCAATCTTGATTTTGTTTCGCCCGAACTTGACCGTAAGACTAAGAAATTTAAGGTAGAAAGTCATTTTGGAAAGCGTAAACATCGTGAAGGTACCTACTTAGTATGCGAACACTCCGCTCTGCGTAGCTTAGCGTGATTCGCTGGTTAAGTGTAAATAATTTGGACCCAACACATTAACCATCTCCCAGTTGGCTTGTTGGCTCAGTTGATAGAGCGCTGCACCGGTATCGCAGAGGTCATGGGTTCAAATCCCGTACGGGCCTGAATTTTTTTCAGGTCCTATTTTCAACTACTTGTTTCAGTAGTGTTCTTAGCCGCGAGGATCTCTTAATTTCATCTCTTCACCGCAGTGCAAATATATGAATTTCATATATCTAAAAGCATGACGAAGGTTAGAGATTGACAGCTCAGTAAGCGTTACCTTTATGAGCGGTGACCCACACTTTTCTTTGTTAGACCAGAGCTAGTCGCCGTTGTATTAACTTACGTAATAAAAGAGGGAATACAAGAAACAGTCAACTGAACGACGAGTGTTAGGAAACTACTTCTAAGGGCCTGTTTGCATGGAGGTGGGGGACCCCAGGGTCAATGATGAATGCATAAATAGGTCATAGAGTGCAATAGAGGTTATAGAGTGCAATACGGAGAAGTTGTGGAACCCAAATTTGAACACCAAATTATAAAAAAATTGAAATATAATAAATAAAAAATTGTGGGGTAACCCGCCTGTCCATATAATTTCTTACTTTATTTTGATCATGTTTACATGATAGGTGGGGTGACCGGCCATGGCGGGTTGCCCGATCTGCCAGGTTGGGTAACCCTGTCAGCCGGGGTGACAATTTGTCATGTTAACGTGTCAAGGTGGGGTAACCCGCCTAGCCGGGGTCGCGGTTCAGGGCAAAAAGCTCAAAAGCGAAACATGTATGTTTTAAAACTTTGAACATTTCCTAACCGTTTCATGGCAGAAATCACCAGAAACCGCAACGAATACACAAGGAGTGTAAAATGTTCACATTTCGGAATATTTAGCATTTTAAATCGACCATATTTGGTTTCCCAAACTATTCCGTATAACGTATTAAGTCAAAGGTTTCACGCGAAACCAAACACCGCGTAACACAACGCGTGACGCTTTCATGAATAAATACATATGTGTACGAGAATTAATCTTTCGTCCTTTTCGAGATGTGAGCTTGGGACGCCTCTGCTCAAACTCCTTAATTGCAAGTGCAACAACAACCTCAAGAAACCTCACCCCAGCACCCCGGGGTTGTAAGATTGCATGTAAACGCGTTTTATTTTTCGACCACGGCTAGGCGGGTTACCTCACCTACCTGGAGTCCCCCACCTCCATGCAAACAGGCCCTAACACAAAGCCTGAAAAAAAAATTCAGGCCTGCACGGATGTTGAACCCAAGACCTCTGCGATACCAGTGCGGTGCTTTATCAATTGCAACAAAAAGCCAAGTGTATGAGAGCTGGTTATTTTGTTGGTTCATTTATTCATCATCACCTTACGGATTTATTATGAACCAACAAAATGACCAGCTCCCAGTTGGCTTGTTAGCTCAGTTGGTAGATTTTGCACGGCAACTTTTGGTCTTTGGAGCAACTTTTTATATTTGGCAACCTCAGGCAATTTTTGCTTTCTGATAAATTTTTGACCAATATTTGGGTTTAGAGCACATACCATGCACGCGGATTAAGTCAACGATTTCATAAAAACTTCGATCTATGCAAATTTCTTGAATGTTTCGTAGGCCCTTTATCAAATAGTAGTGCAGATAATCGGCAAGAATGACGCACAAGATAGCTATCAGTGTTAATTTACCTCCCATGGATGGTTAGAAGCCGTCTTCATTTGCGAGCAAATCTTTAAAGCTAGGTTTATCATTGCGAAGAAAAAAAAAATGTAGCTTTAATGAACTTTTATTTAAAAATGTCAAGAAATTTAGGGAGCAACTTTTTGGATTTTTGGCAATTTTTGTTAGCGACTTTTTGGCATTCTCGTGAGCAACTTTTCAGCAATGCACAGTCGGGACAGACCTCGTTGGTGGAGCACTGCACCAGTTCTGGATGCAACTCCTGTACAGGTCTGAATTTTTCCTTTCAGGTTTTCCTTTTACTTCTGCGAAAGCAATATTCGCTATTGTAAAGTTCGCTCTCAAATTATTTTCATTTATATTAATTCGCATCTCACATACATGATTTTCATATATTCAGTCAAAACTGAAAAAAAAATATCACATTCACCGGGAAAAAAAAAGAAGAAAAGAATTAATTACCAGGTGTCTTCAATGCTCGGAATCGATCCTGAATGTTCACATTTCGAATGCTCCACTTAAGCGCATAGAGTTCAATTTTAATGCGCTATATAAGAACTTATTATTAAATTAAATATTAAATTAACACAAGATATTGGACCTACCGTGACGCTCGCGGTATGTGCCAATGAGATGTAGTTTTATTACTCCTTGTCACGTCACGCAATAGTTGTCAACCAGAAAGATTTCAAATTTGCATTTTTATGTTTACAAGCTCTGTTGCGCATTTGGTATTTACGATTACGATTCAAATGCACCTACGTGATATATTTTATTTTGCTTAACTGCAGACATAAGTGATAGAAAAGAGGCGAAGAGACCTCTTACAGTTTAGGGTTTCACAACACTCGATTGCGTAACCTCAGCGGACTTGTGATCTGCACAGAAATTTTCTCGCCAGTGGTTTCACTTTTCTCCGTGTCTCAGTCGCAAACGGTCGTTGCTTCAATAGGTAAGTGCTATGTAATTTTTCATCATGGAAGTTTTCTCATCTGTATCTTGTGGGTTAGAGGATTTTATGGAAAGCATTTTGCATTGCAAAATAATTGTCATGTTCTTTGAACTTGGCAAGCCCTGAGAAAATTTGACCTGAATTGTCGTTCTGGTCTTCACTGAAGTGATCATTTGGGCTTTGCAGAGTACGATTTAGCTTTCGATCGATGTGACAAATCTCAGACTATTTTTCCATATTGTAATCATTGTTATTTGAATGAACATCCTAGATACGTGGATCGATACAAAACAGTAATAATAGAGACGTGCGTATAAAGTTGTGCACAGAACTCAACTTTCGGTTTCGCAATGATCTTCAACCAGTGGGCCTTTCTTTTTACATTTTCGTTATTGCTCGATGATTTTTTTTTTATCCAAACCATGAAATTTTGTTATAATCCAATAGAAATCTCATGGCGAACATTTACAGTGACGCGAAGTTTATTTAAAGCGCGACAAACAAAGTGTTTGAAATAACGTTCCGTTTCATCAGATTTTGAGAAGGCAGTCTTTCCTGTTCTTATCATCGACTCCATCTAAAGTTATTGGAATAGGATACAGGTAAATAGTCATAGCAAAAAAGAAAAACCTTCGTCGGTCAAGGTTGAACATATGTAGCGCGTGCTGGCTTTCCTGTTAGTCAGTACGGGCGGAACAGCTTTGCTTTTTGCAGGGTAGGCCATTGCTGTATTAACATTCCCTATGGTAATCAGAGAACCCATTGTACCCTTCAATTGTTTTAGTCTTTGTTTGTTTTACGCTTTTTTTTTTTTTTTTTTTTTTTTTTGTGTTAATTTACCAAGATTCTAGGTATTGTGGAGGAAATTTTTTTATAAGTTTTTTTTTCTTGTCACATGAAGTGATCAATTAAAGCATAACAGGGCGTTTTTATCGCGTTTGACCCCTAGTCTGTGGTCCTGTATTTTGCGATCACCCCGCCCTTGCCCGCGGAGTAGTCGTACAGCACGGTGGTGCAAATCGCTCCGTTTGCCAAAGAAGGGCTGCGTCTGCCTCAGAAGCAACTTGAGAGTTAATTTACGGTAAATGTGAGATGAAATTACGGAAATTTGATTGATGACCGCTTGAATAAAGGGGCCGTGTTCAAGACATTTGACTGTATTTTCTTGCATACACGAATGGAACCATGTCGTGGTCGGCTAAAAATTTTACTTGATCTGCTTTCCATTTTGATCTACTCTATGAGCTGTATTTGTGCAATATTGAATCATAGTTGTCTATTTTCTCATCTCGCTTGGCTGAAAGTTTGCTGTCACCCCTTGCGTTAATTTTGTCGGTAACAAAACACTGCGTGACCAGTTCTTTCAAAGAGAGAGCAGAATGTTTTTGTTTCCCTCTAATTGTAGCCTGCGGACATTCTCCCTATTTTCTGCGCAAAATTTATTAGGAAGCTTTCAGAACGGTCAAATGTTGAGTACTATGGGTGAATGAATTGATTAAGCGTGCGAGTAAGCCCTCATTATTAGTATCTCTGAGGTGTTGAACAATCGGTGGGTAGTCTGCAAGGGGTCTAAACTTGAATATGACTCCCGGCAAACCTTTCTCTCAGCTTCTTCTCCTCCTCCGTCTCAAATCTTTCCGCTAGCGGAGAAAAGCGTGTCCTGCATCGCAAATAATGTTAAGGAAGTGAAAAACTGCCGACCTTCTTCATAGTTTGATGCTAATTTTTGACGCCTGCCTTATCACACCGCTTCTCTAGAGGTGTCTTTCTCTCGTTTGTGGTTCGATCTAGCTTTTCACCTTTTTAGGCTTTAGATTTCACGCGTAGTATCGCGTGATTTTTGATGTAGACAAACCCCGAAAGTTCAGACATCGATTCTAGCTCGCAGCACATGTATCCAAACTTCGGCTTTGGAAATTTTTCGTAAATAACTTCCCACCTTCAAGCGGATTTATCTGACAATCTACGCACTAAACACCCTGAAAATACCTTATCAGATACATATATGTTATTTGCCGGCTGGGAGGTCCGTATGGTGAAAAACTGTGACCGAGGTCTTGAAAATACTGCCCGAGGCCGTAGGCCGAGGGCAGCATTTTCAAGACCGAGGTCACAGTTTTTCACCATACGGACCGACCCTTAGCCGGTAAATAACATATTTATTGTTTTTAAACTTGACGAAATTCTTTCCGAGAGAACCCGAATGATTTATGGCTGTAAATACGGCAAGATCTTCCATAAACTGAACAATTTTTGAGTGAGTAAATGGTAGTTAAAATAGAGGTGATGCAAATTTAAGAGAGATGCCTCAGCGAAACATTTTCATTTCCGTAACGATAAAGGTGATTTAAAAGGCTTCCAAACAAACTTTGAAACATTATTTTTACAAGTATCTGTCACAATCTGACACCTGTCAATTAGAGAGCGCGCAAGAAAAAAAAAAGCGAAGGAACATTTGAAAACCAACAGAACTAGTTTGGCAAGGGCTGTCACGACAATGTTTTCTTCAAAATCAGTCAATAATCTAACGGAAAGTATTATTCACTCTCATCGACCATTCATTCATGTACGAAGATTTACCTCTGTTCATTAAGTAAACGGCGAGGAAAGTAATTGTGAGTAAATTCAATTTTTTTATTTTGAAGTTGTGAGAGTTTGCTCGTTTGTTTGCTGTAATGGCGTGTTTAACTCTGATCTTTCCTTCACAAAAACTAAATTCGAACGGCACACTCCAACGAGATACAAGGGAATGTAATGCGGCCTTTTCTCAAAAAATTCCTTCAGTTTCTGTTGTGCAATTTAAGGTACAAATGTCCAAATTGAACGGAATTGGAAAGACTCACCAGGAGCGTATATTTGTTGTAGAACTTAAATTAAAACTTCGCTCGCTCTTTCACTATGAACAAATTGCTCGAGAAAATTCAGATATTAAATGAATGAAAGTTCCATCGTTCAGTTTAACTGTAACCAAATACCTCACGTTCCAACTTTCTGGGTACTTTTTGTGAACGATTAAAATTAATTGCAGAAGGTTTTTAGGCCGCTTATCAACCAACGTAATTACACTATTGTTTATACAAATTCATTCTGAAACCAATATTTTTCTGTCAACCAAAGTGATTTGATAGAGAGAAAAGAGAGGATTCATAAGTTATTTATCGGCTTGAGGTAGTGACCGACGTGTTTGCTTAAAAATACTGCCCAGCCGGAAAACGAGGTATATTTATGAAGAATGACAACGAAAGTTGGGATGTCTCGGCGACTCACGAAAGCGTTACCGTGGCCCGTGGGCAGAGATAGGAAAATACTGACCGGGTAAAGAACCAATCAGATTGCAAGATTCGTTACCGTGCCCTCTAAAAAAACAATAAATCACTGTATGCAGAACTAATTCGATTATTCCATGCTGCAACGCTTCCTGTAACATTCTTCTTATCTGCTTCAACGGCCGCGAAATGACAACTTGCTCTTAATAAACGATCAAATAAATGACAAAAGAAAGATGTCAATTTTGAGCGAAGACACGCTTCTTGAAAGTGGGACGTTATTTAAGAAAAATTTCCAAAGCCGAAGTTTGGACACATGCTGCGAGCTCGACTCAATGTCCGAACTTTCGGGGTTTGTTTACATCAAAAATCACGTGATACTACACGTGAAATCTAAAGCCCAAAAGATAAATTTGGTAGCTTAACTGTTTGTAGATATTGAGCTGAACAAATCGACGTCTGAACGATGACAGCTGATGTTAAATATCCCAAGCGTTTCTTGGATTTAACCATAGACTCGCCAGTGGAGGACTCGAAACTCGCGTATGACGAAATGGCTCAGGTCTGGGAAAAGGTAACCGCTATAAATTCATGGTTTGTTTGGTAGTATCCTGCACAGCTGATGCGAAGATAACGATTTGGCATCAAATATCCAAGTTTGGCCTTCCATTAGGCTAACGTAGACGGGGGGGTAGGTACTCAGACACTTAACGGTACTTTGGTAGGGGGTTGCTGTTGAAGTCTACAAACGTCGTCGTTGAAATGATGAACCGGCTGTTCTTCTTAAATATATAACTTTCAAGGGACCAATCAGTATTTATCGGCGGGGAGGGGAAGGGACTTATAGAGGAACGTAGCGGGGGGGGGGGGGTTTCAATCGTCGCCAACAGAGCCTAATCAGGGGGTATCGGGTAAATTTTACCATACTAGCCCTGGTTGTTCAAAGGATGGAGAAATTTAACCACTGGATGAGAGCTTATCCGGTGTATAAGACGGCTATCCAGTGGATAATTATCCAACGAATAACAAGTTATCCATCCTTTAAACAAACGGGGCCTGGTCCCAAATGTCGCCTATGCGGGAAACCAGTAATCCCTTGACTGTCATTTTGTATCTTTTTGCCTTCGCAGATTAGCGATAACACTGGTTACAAAGGGCATATTCTGTGCGTGGAGGCGTTCGATCGAACCATGGAAAATAAAGAGGTTTATCCAAACCCAGGGAAAGACATAAGAATCCTCGATGCCGGAGCGGGTACGGGAGGAATTGGTGAGATGCTGAAAGCTCGAGGTTATACCAATGTTGACGCATTGGACATCTCGCAAGAAATGCTGAATATTGCGGCAGCCAGGAACATTTACAAGAAACTCATCTGTGCTCCTCTGAAGGACACGCACATGGAAGAGATTGAAACCGCTGAATATGATACTGTGCTGTGTGCAGGCACCATCGTATATGGGCAAGTGAAACCTGGGGCAATCGAACAGTGTGCAAGATTTGTAAAACCTGGTATGATAGCATTTAGAAAAAAAGGTTTTTAAGTTTAATTTAATCCATATTGATTGAATATGCTATGACGAGGATAACGACCACAGCTTTACGTATTGAAGTTTGTAAACTCTCACGAGACACCCTTAGCGCACTTGACAGAAGCCCTTTACCCCCAAGACTCTGTCTGTATACCGTCGGGATATCCTCGGGAAACCCTCAAAACACTTTCGGGTCATCCCCGAGACCAACACAGGTGTCCCCATTTTTCCCGTTATTAAAGGTAATTTTCACATAACCTTGTGATAATTTTCAGTTCGGGGATTTTTGTTTGTGTTGTTGAATGGCTACGGCAACTGTTATACGGTGAACAGACAACAAGTAAAATAGTTTTTAAGTGAAAAAAATATTGTTAGCGCACCGCACGGAACTCTGGGAGTGAGGAGTACTCCCAGAGTTGTGCGGGGCGCGCGATCATCAACTTTTATTTGGCTGATTTTTTTTCGACTTGCACGACGGACTTCGAAAAGAAGGGACTACTCGTAGCCTACACAGCGAAGCAAAGGTTTTGCAAATACAACATGAATTGCGTTGCTTGTCTTTTGTTTCTTAACTTAATGAAATCAGTAAAGTACGAGTACTTTCGAATCATGAGGCGAATAAATTCCCCCAGGGGACAAGGGAAGGTACTATAACTTCGGTTTTCTGCTCTTTCAGGAGGTCTGTTTATTTTCTCCATCCGCGTGGATTCCTTCGATCCAGTGGGTTTGGGTTTCAGTGAAAAATGCCAAGAGCTGGAGAAAAATGGCAAATGGAGTCTGGTGTTAAAAGAGAAACGCGAGTTGCATGCTACGCCCAACGAGGAGCGACTTCGGTACTGCTACCTCATCGCTTACAAGATACTTAAATGAAATGCAAAAATTATCTGGAGAGAAGGAACTAACACCATATATCACTTAGATTAATATTCTAGTTTATTGCAGGACATCCAGACTACTACTGGCCTCCTGACTTAAGTCCTTTTGTGATTTGTACCCTATTTTCGACCTCTTGACCAGAAACTAAAAGGTATTAAAAAGAGGAACTAAATGTTTTTGTATTCTGTTGCGATGTGAGGCGAACGCTATCTCCACCACGCAATCCCCGCTTTCCCAGTTTTTGTTGTCATGACCATAGAGAATATTTTTAGAGTAGTATGGATACTGATCTTGGTGTGACAAGTCACACGCCACAAGATTGTTAGCGTGCTAGCCTGCGAGATTCGGACCGGAAAGCGAACGTGTGCAAGATGTCTGGTAAAAGAATCGTGGTAAACCCCTCGCAGACCTCCACTAGGCTCGCCGGCCTTACTTGCGTGGACTTCACGAGAACCGAGCGCGTTATTAGTGCAGCAATGCCAGAGGGAGCCCTTAAACAGGCCCTGACCCTGACCCTGACCCTAACCCAAATAATTAGTCGGGTGACCGACTATAGGTTTACCCTCGGGTCTCCACAAAGCTCAGTCACGTGCAATGGGGAATACCGCAGACACGTAATAGAGGCGCAACTTTCTTTCCACCATGTCGAACATGGCGGATTTGTCGAATATCTTAGCGAATGGTGTCATCTTTTCTACGCTCAAGCATACAGACTCACACGCCGTTCGCGGTAGACCCGCTCTAAAAGATGGCTTGTGTAATGAGCGTACATTTCGAAACGGGTCGTTCCGCGAACTCAAAATAGCAAAAGAGTCAAATGATTTAGCGAAGGTCTCACTAGAATCAAACCAGAAATCAAATGAGTTATCAGTGAACAGAAAATGTGGACAGAGTGACTGAAGAACATTTGCTGATAAAGACAAGGTGCCTCGTTATCAAACCCTAGGAAACAACGACAAAGATGCCATGTTGGACTTTCGTCAGAGTGAGGATAAACGTAATTTTTATATTTATGTGACCTCTATCGTGATTATTTAGCTTACATTCGTTATGTTTTTGCTCAAACAGAGTACATTATCAGCTGTTATTTTTCCATTTGTTCCATTAGTTTTGTCGCTTTTGTGCGTATATTATATTCGCATATTGTTGAGCAAGAATGTTTAGTACCAAACGAAGTGGTGTCAAATGAATGTGATGTATTGGACAATGTAGCGCCATGTATAGAACAAAAGTGTGGCGAATCAGCGTTGTGTATACAACAAAATGATGTTGTAAAAGAAATAAAGTATGCAAAAGAATTCAGGTCTCGTTATGTGATGTTTATTAATCGTTGTAATATTAACAATGGTGATTACCGTGTGCGAAGACGATTCGATCGTGAGCCCAGCAGAATACCTGTAAAAAAACTAGAAAAGTTCTCACGTAAAAACAAACAAATAAAGAAGTTAGTGTGCAGGCGAATTCTTAAAAACATTCCTGTCTCGTCAAAATTACACAAAATTACTCTTCATTTACTCCGACAATAGAATGTATCGGTGTCAGTATCTATCATACTGATAATGGAAGTTAAGATATTTGACTCTCGTGCAAGAGACGAATATGGTAGAAGCCATCCCTCAGGTACATGTGTACTATTAGAGGTACCATCTATTCAGGGCTTAGTACAGTATTTCCAGACTATACACTCCCTCAGTGACAATTATGAACTTAGAGGAGTGCAGATTGGTACATATGAAGTAACTAGAGTGAACAATTTGAAAGAAGAACACAACTGCTCTTGCAAACAATGATCTGCTGTGGGGCTTTGTGCCACTGAGGCTCAGTGGCAAAGTCTTGTAGTTATTGGAATTCCAGAACCCTTTGTTGCATGGCTGACCAAGGAAATAAATTATATCGTAACATGGGCATCAACAGGTGTTGAAAAATGGCAGATTTATACACGAGTCTTGATATTTGTGGAGTTCAGATATCAGTTCAACTTAAAGCTCAAAGCTATGGGATGTTATCCACTAGTTTAAACAATACAAAAAACAAGTTGGAAAACTTAATTTTCAACAACTTCAACAAATTGTGGCTTGCAAGTTACTGCATTACTTGTATTTTTCAACAAACAGTCAGAGCAAAGTACATGTTTTCCTTATTGACCTGTGAAGATACTTGTGAACCTGCAATACAACAAATAAAAATAAGTGGTATATCACCATTAGTACAAGCTATTTCTAACATTGTTACAAAGAAACTTAAAACAGATATTGTTCACTATGAAATGCAATTTTTGTCTTCCACATCTAACATGGACCTTCATCAAATCAAACACATCATGGAAAAGCACAGACAAAAATGTAATTATGACAACATGGAACCTTTTCCAAAAAAGAAAAGACTGAAACAGATAAGTTCTTAAAAAAAAATCCAATACAAAGTTAGACTGCAGCATGAGAGTGAGACAATCCCAACTATTGATGTCTGCATTAAAGAATTCAAAGAGAAAATCAGAGAAGGTCCTTATTATGTATGCTGTGTATGCAATAGAATGCTGTATAAGAAATCAGTTTAAAACTTCTTAAGTACTTAATACTCCAATCAAAACTATTTTAGCATTCAGACTTCATTTGATGGTAAGGAGTGTATTTGCAACACACGTAACTCAAAAGTTAAACAAGGTAAAGTTCCTTGTCAAGCTGTGATTAACAACATGTATGTTGATGATACACCAGTAGAGCTTGCCTCTCTTGAAAAACTAGAGCAGATACTAATAGCTTAGAGAATATTATTTGAAAAGATTATTGTTATGCCCAAAGGTCAACAGAGGAAAGTAAAAGGTGCAATTTGTAATGTACCAGTTGAATGTGATCAGACAAGTAGTCTTTTGCCACGCCCCTCCTGAGAGATCTGGTATAATCCTGTTAAAACTCAAAAGAAAGTTACAATTCAGAGGTCATGTTTACCTTCAAGCAGTAAGGCCTCACTTTGTCTTACAAGCCTTGCAATGGCTTAAGGCAAATAATATATTGTATAAAGACATACAAATTGATGTAAATAATATTGTTACAAATCTGACTGTACTACATGAGACAGATAATTCTATAACAGTAAATGAAGCAACAGGTTCTAAAAACAATTCAGTTACAGATGATTGTGTAGAAGACACTGAAGATTCAATACCAGTAAACCAGGAAAAATCTTCATTCCAAAATCAAATTAATGACTTAAATGACTCAAACAATAATAATGAAGAAATTGAAGACCCTTTAAATGAGCATAGAATGCCAATCAATCAAACAAGCATAAAATGTCAATCAATCAAACATGCTTGCAATCCATTATCCCTAACTTTCCTGTGATGGTAGATAATAATAATGAACAGTCATCAGGAAATGAAATTTATAGCATTGCACCAGGAGAGAACAAACATCCTGTTTCATTCATGACTGATAAACAATGTGAGGAACTAGCTTTCCCAGTGTTGTTTCCTAAGGGAAGATATGGGTACACAGCTGAATGTAAAATTATGTTATCACCAGTAAAGTACTTTTATGCATGACTCCTACATTATAGTGGAAAATTTGCTAGAAACCCAGGGTATCTTTTCTTTGCACAATTCATAATTGAGCGGAAAAAAGTTTCGGATAGTATCAATATTGCATTGAAAAAGGTTCATGGTCATTCTGTCACTGCCGCTCAATTAAGATCCAATCCATAAGGCTTACAAAATCTAATTTTTCAAGACCAAGCTAATTTTTGAGACAAATTCCAGGTACTCCATCTCACTGGCAAAAATTTATGTATGAGGTAGTTGCTATGGTGAAACAACTTGGTATTCCAACATGGTTTATGATGCTATCATGTGTTGATCTTAGATGGCCAGAACTATTCAAATCATTGCCAAAATGCAAGGGAAAAAGATGACAAACGAGGAACTTGATGCATTGAAAGTTACAATGAAAGGTGCCAAATGCTGAATACAAATCCTGTTATAGTTGCTAAGCACTTCCAATATAGAGCAGAGACATTTTTCAATGAAGTGTTACTTAGCAAAGCAAATTTGATTGGCAAAATAGTTTATTATGCATTATGTATAGAATTTCAGATGAGAGGTTCTCCCCATTTACATGCATTAATCTGGACTTCAGACTGTCCTTACTTGACTGATGACAACAAGCAGGCCTATATAGACTACATAGATCAACATGTACAAGCCTACCTCCCAAGTGAGGAAGATGATCCTGAATTACACAATTTGGTGAAAACATATCAAAAGCATACCCATTCAGGATCCTGCAGAAAATATAAAAACATTCAGTGTAGATTCAATTTTGGTCAGTTTTTCACAAATACAACAATAGTAGCAGAACCACTAACTGATGACCTGGATGAAGCAATTAAATCTGACTTTCTAGACAAGCAGAAGGAAACTCTGTCTTTAGTTAAACCACAAATAGATGCTGTTTTAAATCCCAGCAAGCCTAACTATGATTCCACATTAACTGAAGATGACATTTTTAATTTAGCAGGCATCAATAAGGAAGCATATTACTCTGCTCTTTCTATTTCACCTGATCCTAACTATGAACTACATCTTAAATGACCAGTAGACAGCTGTTTTATAAACAACTACTTTATTGCTGGTATAAAAGGATCTGCTGTAAATGTTGATCTGCAACCTGTATTTAATCATTACAGGTGTATAACATATAAATGTTCTTACTTTACCAAGGATGAAACTGAATGTTCACAGGTAATCATAAATGCTGTAAAAGAAGCAAAAGCTGCAAACATAAGCTGAGATGGACTGAGAAAAATTGGGGCTGCCTTTCTCTCAAGTTGCGAAGTTAGTTCACAAGAATGTGTGTATCGCTGTATGCCTGAATTATGGTTGAGAAAGATTTTCCAGCAACAGTGTTTGTTAGTACAGATTTACCAGATAAAGACTGATAGTAACAAATTCACAACAGGATCTTGAAGAGCTTGATGATGAGAGTACAGACATCTTTAAATCCAACATTACTGAAAGGTATACAATAAGACCTTTGAATATTCCAGCAGTCAATGACCTTTGTTTAGCAGAGTTTGTTGCATATTATTACAAAGAGTATTGAAAAGAAAACAGTGAAACAATTGATGTTCAACCACAAGTTCTAATTGACAGTGCAATTGAAGCTCAACATTTGGATAATGACTCATTGTCATATGCTATAAGGCTCATGAACACCAATGAAAAAATGAAGCAAAGAAAAATTAAAGCAGTTATAGGATATCACAAACCTAACAAACACAAGGAACCTGAACTGTATTTCTGTCATTTATTAATGCTTTATTATCCTTGGAGACATGAAGGAACTCTTCTTGATAGTGATGACACTTATGTATCTAAATTTTATGAGACCAATGTTAAAAATATTGTAGAACACAACAGAGAAATGTTTGAACCAGATGCAGAAGCAGTAACAGAAGCACTAGAATGGCTAAGAAACAATCAAAATGACATAATCCACTCGTGTGATTCCTTCGGTGATCAGGAAAATGAAGACATTCAACTGGAGGCTCAAGATGAATCATTAGAGGAGTCAATCAATGAACAACAACCATCACATCTAGGAAGAAGTTCACCCACTGAACAACATGGTCAAACTGGAATATCAGTGCACCATCAACCAGCTGAAATATTAGATGATCAACTGAGGTAATCTATCAGATCCTTAAATGAAAAACAACACCAAGCATATGACATATAGTCCTGTCGTGGTGCAGGGACAAAATAAAAAATTTGAACTGCATGAAATCTAAAAAAGTTGAACCAATTTATCTATTTATTACTGGAGGTGGTGGTGCAGGAAAAAGTCACCTTATTAAGACAATCTATCACACTGTAATCAAAACATTTAGATATGGCGGTATGAATCCTGAGAATCCTACAGTTTTACTATCAGTACCTACTGGAGTAGCTGCCTTTAACATTAATGGAACAACAATAAATACTGCTTAAGCAATCCCTAAGAATACAGGTGATACACTGCCTGCCATGTCAGATCAAAAAAGAACACAAATGAGACTATCATTATCAGAACTAAAGCTACTAGTAGTAGATGAAATATCTATAGTGTCAAATACTGCTTTACATCATATTCACCAGAGATTAAAAGAAATATTTGCTACCTCTGATTCTCAATTATTTGCTGGTTTAAGTGTAATTGCTCTTGGTGATTTATATCAACTACCACCAATACAAAGAAAACCTGTTTTTGAAGACTATAAGAATGATGCTTTAAACCTTTACCACCCTTGGCATGTCTTTAAGATGATTGAGCTTACAGAGATTATGAGACAAAAAGATGACCAGCCATTTATTGAACAATTAAATGGATTCAGAACTGGTTCACAGACCAATGAAGATATTCAGTGCATTCAATCCAGGTCAACATGTCCATTGGATGATAACTACCCAAAAGATTCTTTACATATATGGGCTGAGAATAATCCTGTTACTCAGCATAACAATGCAAAACTAAAGCAAATACAAGACCATTATTTCAACTGACAGCCATTGATCAACATCCAGCCAATATTTGAAAACAAGATATTGATAGAGTACTAGCAACAGGAAGATCAGAGACAGGTGGACTTGATCATAACATCTTTGTCAAAGAAACAGCCAGAGTTATGTTAACCACTAATATTGACATAGCAGACAGGCTTATTCATGGTCAAATGGGTACAATTATCAAAATTGATATGAATAAGAACATAAAAAAACCATCAATAATATATATTAAATTTGATGACAAATTGGCTGGAAAGGCCTTAATTGACAAATGCAATAATACCTTTGCTAAACAAAACAGATTGGTACCCATTGAACTGATCCTAGAAAGATTCAAGATAAGACCTGGTAAGCCATCATTGCCAGAAATAAAGCGAATGTAGTTCCCTATTACACTAGCATGGGCTTGCACTGTATATAAGGTACAAGGACCAACATTACACAAAATTGTTATAAGTTTTGAACTTGTGAAATAAAGTTTTTTTTAACTATGGACAAGTTTATGTAGCAATAAGTCGATCTATAACCTTAAAAGGCATTTATATACTTGGACAGATAGAACACAGACATTTATGAACAAACCCTAAAGTACATGAAGAATATAGGAGATTAAGAAGTACCAGTGCTTTAGAGCCTCCTGTATAAATAGCATTTGACAGACAAATGTCTATAACTCTTCTTAATGTCAGATCTCTCAAAAAACATAGTCTTTATATTAAATTTCATTTCAGTATCTTTAATAGTGACCTAATAGCTCTGACAGAGACACTGCTTCTACCTCAGACAAATGACAATGATATTAAAGATCATTTAGAACCATTTACCATATAGAGACAAGACCACACTTCAGACAGGTTCTGTAGTTTAGCAGTATGTATAAAGAATCATATTCATATTAATGAATATAAATATTTCCCTTGCATAAATGCTGTTAAGTATGTTTTTATAAATAATGTACATCAATAACGTATTACGCTTCTGCTTTTGTATAGAAAAAACAGTTCCAGTATCGCATAGTATGTGGAACGTCTCAGATACATTACGCCTCAATAGCTTACATGACCTATAACTTTTCATTTGGACACAGCTACTGAACTAAAAATAACATAAACTTCAAATATTCAGTAAGAGCTTCCAACCTTTTGTACTCCATGACTCGATGATATAACTTTTGTCATGAGATAGGTTATTTTACAGTAATACATGGCAATTTTTACCAAGGATGTTATCAACTTGAAGATACCAACAATCATTGTTACACACAGGTAATAAAGCAAAAACAAAGACATGTCCAGTTGATTACGTGAGCACTCGAAAATTACAATACGTACTAACTGGACTTTATCAGTAATTAAAGCAGTTAACGTTAAATTAGGAAAACAAACATACGTACCTTTGAAACAACTTTCATCCATGAATTCAAACAAACTCCAGGCATCCAGAAATTTTCGTTACCAGGCCTTGCCGGGCCGGGTTGGGCTGAGTCCGAAGGGATCCGAAGAAAGTAAACCACTCAGAGCTTACACGGGCGTTGTCCGAACAGTCCTAGTATAACACCTCACTTGCCCGCACCGTACGCAGTTGCATCTTCAAGCCTTTAAAATAAATGTAGCCACTGAAATGTCGGATAACGTCAAAGTGTCTCGAAAAAAAGGTATTCCTCTTTCATACTGAAATTCCTTAATGTTACGTAGGTTAATAAAGGATTGTTATAATTGTTGTTGTTATTCCTGAAAAATATAATCACCGATAACAAAGGAATACTTTATTTCTTTAGATGTTAACTCTTACAGAAGAAACGTGCCTACGCGTACACCTGCGTCAAGCGTCCCGTCAACTTCAAGATCAACTGAGCCATCATCAGGCGCCCCGTCAACTTCAAGAGCAACTGAGTCATCATTGTGCAACACAACAGCGCCAACACCAAATTCAACTTCTTTCCCGAAGAAAATCTCAACCCAGCCACACAAAGATCCAACCATTATTGGTTATCTCCACAATGTCAGCCTAGTGAAAAAAAGTGCCAAATCAACCATGCCTTTGAAGCGAACGTTGATTTTCCTTCTGACACCGATAACAACAAACACCAGTGGTCACCACAACAGATCTTGAGGATATTCGAATTTACCACACAGTTCGTGGTATGGTTCTTTTTGGAGATCGAGGAGTGGAGCCTGTCCCTACCAAAACCGATCTAATTAAAAGGGAAGGATCCTTTGTGGATGAATTTGGAAATATTCCAATCACACTGTGGAACGAGCAAATCGAAAGTACAGAGGAAGGTTTTTATGAAATTCACAACATTCGTCTTCGACAGTTTAAAGGCGTAAAATACTTATCCTCAGCGAGAGATACCGTCTTCAACAAATTAACTGAAAAGCTGCCGGAAATCTCTGAAAAACAAATCAAACACGCAAAAGACGAACTCAAAACAAACGAGATAACCCGTGACAACATCCAAAGCGTAGACATAATGGTGTTTTACAACTGCGTAAGTTGTTCCAAGAAGGTCCAATTTCAGCAAAATTCTCCAATGCTTAGGTGTATGAACTGCAACTCACGATTTCTCATCAAGAATTCTACGAAAACTACGACAGCACGTATTTCGGTCAAAGAAGGTGACCAAACCACTCGGTATTCATTGTTCACTTCCACACTGGAAGGTATTATTAAAAAGTACAACAAAGATAACAATGAAGCAGATACTACAGAAGAAATAGATGAAGACAAGCTATGTGAAATTATTTTGACAACAAAAGGTGTGAAATTGCGCGTCAGTAGCACAAACACTGTACTCGGCATTGCTTTTGCTTGACTTCTTTGTAGTAAACAGGAGTTCTGCACCATTGTATTTTTGAGTATTCTTTAGCAGACATTGACATGAGACCTTGATACGTTTATTTTGGCCATGTTTGTTTCATTAGACTTTAAATCTACCAACTTCAATTTAGAAGACATTTTCATTGTAGTAAACAGGAGGTTTTATAGGAACGTTTCACTATTGTCTTTTGCAGTATTCTTTATCAAACATGAGACATTGATACGTTTATTTTAGCCTTGTTTACTGTTTTATTAGACTTGAAATCTAAATAATCCAAATTTTGTTTATGAAAGCCCCCGTTCTCTGACACGCCTTAAATAACCCAGAGAATGTCAACCAGTGAGAAGACACTGTTCCCACGCGTTCACCGTTGAGTTTATTTTCCCGAGATGTCAAACCACATTGACAGTATTTCTAACATGTTCCTGTTACCATACCAAAATGTAACATTTCTAAACGTTGTTCCAGCTATTAAGTAATGTAATAAATATAATAATCATATTTTGCTTGTTGAAAATAAAAGGTGAAAAATTACTTAAACTTGCTTATCTTTTTATATCTCATTCTGACCATAGTGTAACAATATACTTTAAAAGCAAAAACACCAGCCCTTTCAAACTGTCATTCCAATGACTTGACAGATTGTGAACTATTACATAAAACTTCATCTTAGCCTGAATCAGTCACTGTGACCCCAATCTTCCCAAACACACAGATGATGTCTCAAATCAAATTCAAAACGATTACCGCGGCTTTCACTTTCATCTATACGTCAGTTTAATTAAGCACTTTTTTCACGATGAAATATACTTCTCTGCATGGCTATCTTTAAAACAGAGAACGGGGAATCGGGGGATAGGGGGATAGGGGGATAGGGGGATAGAGGGATAGGGGAATAGGGGAATAGGGGAATAGGGGAATAGGAGAATAGGGGAATAGGAGAATAGGGAAATAGGGGAATAGGGGAATAGGAGAATAGGGGAATAGGAGAATAGGGAAATAGGAGAATAGGGGAATAGGAGAATAGGGGAATAGGAGAATAGGGGAATAGGGGAATAGGGGAATAGGGGAATAGGGGAATAGGGGAATAGGAGAATAGGGGAATAGGAGAATAGGGGAATAGGGAAATAGGAAAATAGGAGAATAGGAGAATAGGAGAATAGGAGAATAGGGGAATAGAGGAATGGGGAATGGAGAATGAGAAATCTTCAAAATAAGGAATCTTTAAAAGCGGGAATCTTTAAAAAGGGGAATCTTTCAAAGCTGGAATCTTTAAAATGGAGAATCTTAAAAAGCGGGAATCTTTAAAACGGGAAATCTTTAAAAGCCGGTTCAGTACCTCTTGGGCTGTTCAGCCTCAAAAGGTCCACAGCAGCAGCCTCTGTGATACCCGTCAGGGTATTGCACCAAAAATATGTGACAGTGTGTTGTTGTAGAATTGGTGCCTCTCAGGGGTGAAAAAAAATTTACGCCACGCCCACAAACCAGGACCATGATACCTCTGTATTTCTTTTAGAACCACTGCGCACCGTGAATGGTCAACACTTGTAACAGCGCGTCTACCTGTAACCCGACTTACGATCTTAGATCCTCTTGTTAATAGTTAAACTGTATGTTCTTTTTCAAACTCCAAAAGCCACACTCTGTTGGGCTGCACATCCATTTAACGTAGCGAAATAGCAAACGGCGCGTTAGTAACGGAAATAAAAGTAGAGAGAGGTTTGGGTCTGGTCATTACGCGCCCGACCAAGCCTCTCTCGTTTTTTTATTTCATTCTCCCTCTACAATAGCGTTGTAGCTTGAACGGGCTATTCGCTCTAACGACGAACCAATGCTCAAAGCCTCGACTTTAAAAATCTCTCATCAGTGACCGATTCATTTTATCAACTCAGTTGATATAACCAAATTCTCTTAAATATTAACCCCGATTAAAAATGACACACTTGAAAACTTTAGACTAAATGTTCTAAGATAACAAATCATAATATAACACCATCTAAATAAAACCTACATACACTACAGGAAAAAAAACGACGTTATAGATTAATATCATTTATTATCAAAATTATAAAAATCTCTCAGCTTTTTACAAATCTCATATTCCTCAGAATGTTAATGTATTTACAATTCCAATGTCAATATTTTCATCTTAAAATTAAACGGCTTGACTTATCTTCTGTCACGTCACACCTTTTAAGAAGCGTTGCGTGACGAAAAGAACGTTCCCTGACGTTATTTGATAGTCAAACAAACTTCAACCGCAATTGCGTAGCAGAGAGTTGAGACAAACAAATAACTGCTACAAGTAACCGTAAATTAACTCGTTATTTCAAATTCACGAGTGCCTCACATGGCACGATAAAAATTGATTAAAATCATTCCAACAATTAAAATGGCAGGTTATTCCACAGTTTTTAATCAATAAAACATTTTGGCAATTATATTAAATAAATCCTCCTCCGCAAAAACACTCAAGTTTATCAGGTAGAAGTTGTTCACCTTGATCGAGCACCTAATTCTCGTAACTAATTTATAAGGAAATATGTGGCATCCAGAGGGGAGAAGTTTGAAAATCAGATCTTGGGAGTCACAGGGTTAACAAATTTTCCTCTAAAAAATCTCCCAGCCTAGAGAACTGCCACGACAGTTTCCGGAAAGCCTATGGAAAGCCTAAGGAAAGGAAAGCCTAAGGAAAGCCTAAGGAAACCCTATGACTCCCTTATCACAGAAACTGTTAACCCTTTAACTCCCAGACGTGATTAACATGAAACTTCTCCCTATAATATCCATACATTATTCAGAAAATGGGTAATGAAAATACTCAAACTTATCGGGTAGAAGCTGCTACTTTGATCTAGCACCAAGTTCTCATAACTAATTAACAAGGAAATGTGTAACAGCTAGAGGGGAGAATTAACAATCAGATCTTTGGAGTTAAAGCTTAAGAGTTGAAGGGAGTTGTATTCCAAAACGTTTTCCTTCACAAAGGTTCTTAATAAGTCTTAAACGCTAGCCGGTATATACAGGAAACAGTTTTTTCTTGGCTAGCACACTTGCCATAGTAAAAGCGTCTTGTGTGAATACAACATAGGAATTTTTCGGTTAAATTGTACTACGGGAGCCCTTGGTAATGCAAAACATGCCTATGACCTTTCGCTCTCAAGTTCCAGATATAAATTCTCAAAACTATCTGCCATACATTTCATATAATTTTAGTTCTGAGAATGTAACGTTAGAAAATATCCCTCGAAAGATATTTTCTATTTTCTCATCACCCTCCTGCTAGAAAATGTATCGAAATTATGAGGAGAATTTAATTGTTGAACACCTCCAAGTGTGGAAGGGTTAAGTCTTTGAAATTTCTTAAACAGGTTAATTTGTCACTAACGGCAGCCCACTTGTGCTAAGAAATGGAGATATCGTGCTAAAAAGTAATTTCTTTCCTTTGAAAAACTGTGATTAAGTTCATTTCTTGGACAGCGAGCTAGTAGTCAGGGGTAAGGAGGTCAGAAGGTGGGAAGGGAGGGGGGGTGGGGTGACTATGGTCAAGATTGGCAGATTTACACAGATTGTATTGAATTCTAGAAATTGTCAAAGAACGACATACTCTTCAGTTGGAGGACTGCTGCTTAGCGTCGACGGACTTGGGACACCGTTGTTTGATCTCTCTGGTCTATCACTTTCCATAAGGCTCTCGGATAGGTTCGCGCTGCGAACTAAATCTTCGGAAGCCATCGGTTTCCGATGAGACGCGAAGATGAACATAGGATAATCACCGCGCTGCATCGGAGGCCGTAAAACCTAAAAAAAGCAAAAAATAATTAAAGATAAATAAGCAAAGCTTCAGAACAACACTTTATCTAAGACAAATTTTACAAAGGCTCCTGGCCGAAACCCTTACCAGTCTAACAAGACACCAAAATATTTCCCAGAGCGCCTTTCGATTGTGCGATGTAAAACCAAAAACAAAGTAATACCAACGGCCAATCAGAAGAAAGGAAAATTGAGCCAATGAGAGCTTAAAGAAAAAACAACCGAACTGCCCAAAGCGCGGGAAAACGCACACGACCGAGTCGTGATTGGCGTTAGTTTTGCATCTGGTTGGCCGACAGAGTAGCTCGAGATTTTGAACTGATCACACAGAAAAGTAATGCAAAACCGACGCAATTTCGTTTCGACACTCAGTTAAAAAATTGCTCGATAAAGCACTCACCTCTGTGGTCTGTTGTCGAAATCTCTCAAAGTCAGCTTTGGTATCACAATAAAAACCTATCGTACACGAGGGATCCATTTTTTTAAACGACATTGTGCGTGGCTGAACACTGTGAAAAGACTGAAAGCAAAATAACACGCCCAATCAATAAAATTAAAAGCAAGAAAAAATTCAAATCGAAAAATTTACTCTATGAATTGATGAAAAAGCGACAAAAAGTAATTACAAAAAAAATTCTTCAAGCCCGAATATCTTTACCCTTGCGTTTCTTCACGCGCACCACTCCTCCACGTTTTTGTGTCTTTTATGTTCACATTTCGTGTGTGCGATCGATCTATGCGATCCTTCTCGTGCGCACCGCATAACTAGCTTTCTTCTCATACGCGCATCCTTTTCACGCAAGTAGTGAAGCGTGTATTTCTTCACGACCACGTTGTTTTTAGGTTTGTGTCTTAACGAACACACGTATTTCTGTGCTTTATTGATAAGTGAACTGAATGTGGACCTGCCATTTAAATTTTCCACTGTTGGAAGCAAGAAAAAGTAATACAATCTTGAAACCGTTTTGTTACTAAAGATGTAATCCCCTTTCACACGGTGTAAATCCTTAGTGGGTATTTTTTTATTTCACAAAATTTACCTGCGTTGGAAAGTCATCCTTGGACATGTCTACAGCCGCTTGACAGTAGTGAGGGTCTAAACAAACCATTTTGTCATCTGTAAAAAAATAAATATAATAATGACAATAAGGTTCGATTATCTTGTGATAAGAAGGCCAAGGATTTGAAGTAGAGGGAATATTAAAGCAATAAAGGTGAGGAAGGAAACAAAGGTGGCTAAGGGTAGCCTATTCCGTGCGTTCAGTTAGTATCTAAACAAAGTGACATAGTGAACAGCGCGATGGTAGCGGTATAGCGAAAACTAGGGAAGTCTGGGACGGAACCCGGCCCAAGCCTCCCTCGTTGTGTCACTCCTCCGTAACTGTATTGCGCCATATACTATCGCGGATCGTTTCAACAACTAAACGCTTGACACAGGCCAATAAACCGAGGACACTACTGATTTAAACAACGAGGAGGGTTTTCTCACCTTGGAAACCAACGAAATAAAGAGAGTGTTTAGGTCGTCCACCTATGATTCCAATACAATGATCTAAAGTAAAAAGAGACTAGAAGGAAAAAGAAAATCATCAGGGAGTTTTAGATCCACCTTTGTTTCTGAATACGTGTGACCGCAAACGTCAAGGAGTCTCGTGACCAGACTCCAGCGGTCACGTTCGCCGTTTGCCGTGCACGTTTGAGCTCTAGCAAGGTAGTTTCAGACAGCTGAACTCCCTCGGCGCCTTTTTTCTTCCTGTTCGAAAGTCCTCACGTATGTGCTATAGGTACATATGAATTGAAGTCTTTTCTTTACAAATAATACGTTTGGGACGCTAGAAAACCAATCTCTTAGCCAAATTTTGTATTTGAAATGAAGAACCCCCATCCTTTGTGTAATTTCCAGATGGTGGCGCGCATGATGATTTTTTTTCAGGCGAAAGCCGACGTCGATCTAAAATGCTGAAAGTCTCGAAACTTCTACCTTCTAACCACAAACTGCTGACCGCGGTTTGATGTTTGCCGTGAACACACCAAACGTGGATCTAAAACTCTCTAATCAGAAACTTTGCGCTGGACAGTATATCGTTTCAAATAGTCGTTGCATTTTCCACGTCTCTCGCTGGGTGACACGGTGGATAACAGCTCATGGGCTTGCCTAAGAGCGGGCCATGCGCACTATCAGCGCGGAGAGATGTAAGGCGAATTGTCACGTTGTTCAAGGCCTTATACTTTTGCAAGGGCAAAAAAGCTGATGTCGAAACAATAACAGTGATTCCCTACTCGCCGGCTTAAAATTGCCTTTATTTTCCCTCTCTCTCTCCTTTATCTTTACGCTGCAAATAAACTTTCATTTTTTCGCTTGTGCCGGACTTCCTTAGACACCGACATAGTATCCCTTACCTTAACACAAGGTATATAAATGGGATTTAGTGCTTCACCACCAAGCCGAACAGGAACTAAAATAATAACAGATTGCCACTTGCCACCGGAACAATTCCAAGTGTGTGTTCTACAACTCGTACAAAGCTTTTCTACTTCATCTGTATAAACTGTAATAAGACGAAAGGTTCACATGAGACAATGCTGTTTACCTTTTAACTCTCAAGAGTGACCAAAATAGAATTTCTCCTTACAATTTCAATACACTGTCAAGCAGACAAGTGGTGAGAATAAAAAAAATATATTAACTAGGGGATTATTAGCTGATCCAATACCAAATTCCCCAAACTAACATCACAAGAACTATATGGCAGACAGTAAGGAGAATTACTAATGAGATCTTGGCAGCTAAAGGGTTAATTAAACCCTACAGCTAACTCTCCGCCCGTGGGTATCTTTGAGAAGGGCTGAGGAGTGATTTGTTGGGGGTCTGGCACTAATAATGAGACCTCATTATCAGACCCCTTGAAGACGTCTCGACGGTTTGCGTCGCTCAATGCCGGAAACTTTCCGGCTAGCGAACCGAAACCTGAGCTGAGGTGCTAGAAATGAGTGCATACTCGCCGGCTAGTCGGTAGTTGGCTCAAACCGTTGGCTGATTTGTCATTTTAAGCCCGCATCTTTCACCTAATTTCTCCAAAACTACTGACGAAAACTCGTACATTTTTTGCAATACCAAGGAAGACATTTGCGCCGCAACCATTTCCCAGTTTTCATTTTGAATGCATACATGTAATTTACCTGTACAATCTTGAGCAACATAAATGTTAATGTTGTGAAGTAAAGGATGCGTTCCTCCTGCCATTGCAAGTCTGTCAAAGAAGAAAACATTGAACAATGAATATGAATTTAGAAGTGGCACATCTACGATACAGTTGTTCTTCTAACGTATCAAGGACACAAAAAAATTTTGGAATTTGTGACAGGTTTTCTGAAGGAAGCAGCCACAGGAAAACCCTCAACGCAAGTACGAGAACAGACAGTGATGTAACATCAAGCCTAGAGCCTGCTTTCGCAATTCGTCATAATTAACTTTCCTAAAAATATGCGTTTTGTTTGCCGAGAAAACAGGTGTTGGTTTTAACCAATTATTCCTCTTTATTTTTTCTTTTCGGGGGGGGGGGGGGGGGGAGGAGGGAGGGGCAAGGGTGTTGCCTGATTGAATTGGTCTCAAATTATGTCAAATTATGTACCTGAGAATATGAGCAACTGAAGCAGGTCCGTACCAGTCCCCTGCCTGCTTTCCAGTGTGTGCCCCAATCGAGACAAGGCGATGCAGTGAAAACGGGCATCTTTCTTCATCTTCTAAATCTCCAAAAAATCGAAGAATCTAAAGGAAACGCAACAAAGAACAATTGTGTATATGGAATTCATATATTGACATTTTAGCCAACCTGCAGAGGAGGTACTTGATCTCACCCTTAAATCTCTTGACCCTTTAACTTCCAGAAGTGATTAACTTGTAATTTCTCCCTAAAATAACCACACATTCTCCAGCTTACAGGTAACAAGAATACTCATACTCGCCAGATAGAGGTTGTTATTTTGATCTAATTCAAAATTCTCAAAATTAATTTACAAGGAACTGCAAAGCAGCTCTAGGAGAGAATTGACACTCCGATCTGGGGAGTTGAAGGGGTTAATCTTGAGTGAAGAATGACCAATATGTGATTTTCCCTCACAGTATGACAGTATCACTGCTGAATCAAACATTTACAAGGTAATGCCTCAGTTAGAAAGGGACAACAGAAGACCAGCTCATCAATTATCACTCACTGTTTTGTAAAAATGTTCTTGTTCTCTGCTGATGCATCTTCCTGTTGTCCTAAACTCTACAAAGAATCACAAGAGCAAGAGCAGTTTTCAACCAAGTGTCCAACACTAAAACCTAAGTAATCACCACTGCATAATACAGGTTTCTCTGTATTTCAAAGTTTAATTCTTTTTTTTTTATTTTCATACCTCTCTTTAGGAAATGATAGACCAAACCAGTTGCAATCATCATTTGTCCACTTCGTAACATGCATCCCCAGCCACAATCAGTGGTTAATGTTGAGTCACCGAGTTGCGGAATTTCTCGTCGATAGGTCAGCCAGATTAATGAGTGAAAGTCTCTTTGAAATTCATCCATGCTTAAAACTTTACACTTTTCTGTTGAGTGTACTCCACTAAATTCTGTAAGAGGAGAAAACTTCCTTCAGTGTGTGACTGTGTGTGCATATTGTACAACTTTAATTCCCATGAGAGACCATGACAGAATTTTCCTTACAATACCAAGCAGACAAGGGATGAGAATAAAGAAAAATTTCAATTAGTGGATTTTAAATTGATCCAATACCAAATTCTCCAAACTTAAATAAAGAGATTTGTATAGCAAACTGAATGGGGAATTACTAGCAAGATCTTGAAGGTGAAATGGTCTTAAACACTTCTGGGTTTATAGAGGCTCTGTAAGTATCAAGTGTCACCTCCACATCTAAACCATAGGCCACTTTACATTTGTGCACTTAGTTGCCAAGCCTTTGATTTGGAGTGAGGCTGAAGGTGACCTTGTTGTGATAGAGACCAGTATCTAGTTAGCATGATAACAAAGTAATTTACATTGAAAAGCAGCAAGGTTTGTATCATAACAAGGTCACCCTTAGCCTCACTCCTATTCAAAGGCTTGGCAACCAAGCACACAACTGTAAAATGGACTATTCCCCAGCTTTTGGTACAAGTCTACAGTACTGTCCATTAGGCTATCTTGTTGACAAAAATCCTAAATGATAAGCATAAAAATTACCATGATTTCTAGAATGATAACATGTAGAATTTAAACATTTAAAAAATTCTGGGTTCAGAAAGGCTGTGTAAGTATCAAGTGTCTTCTCTGAAAACTCCCTAAAAGTTCCCCAGCTTTTTTTACGAAGTCTACAGAACTATCCATTAGGCTATCTTGATGACAAAAAGTCTAAATGATAAGCATAACCTTTACCATGATTTCTAGCATGATAACATCTTCCTAAAAGCCATATTGGTGAATCTTCATTAAAGTGTGCTTTGAAAGGCACAACAAATCCTGTAAAAATATTAAATAAATAATGTTTCAATTGATAATCAAAGAAATTTGCAAGATCTGCAGCACATAGTAACCATTAGACACGTTAGAGCTATTTCAAAATGGTGACAACTTAACCCATTAACACCCAGGAGAGATTAACATGTAAATTCTCTCTATATTATCCAGACATAATCCAGCAAACAGGTAATAAGAATACTCAAATTTATCAGCTGGGTTGAAGTTGATATCTTGATCTCTCTAACACCAAATTCTTGCAACTTTGTTATGAGGATATGTGTAAAAGCTAAAGGGGAGAATTAACAATCAGATCTGGGGATGAAAGACCTATTTGCAAGCACAAATTACCCCCAAGAATAATAACCAGAGAACAGATTTTATAAAAAAAATGTGAGAGCCTTTTAAATGTTTTGGAAACCTGTTAACCAAGTACTTATAACAACCGTTAAAGATCAGTGGAAATTTTCCAAAATCAAGGAGTGTACAATCAAGCAATTGTAAAAAAAACTAAATATTTTCATTTGTCAAACCAAAACACTGGTAAACCTTTGGATCTTTTCCAAAGCAGTCTTCAACAAGAGAGAATGGCAAGGGATTTTGAAATCTGAATGTGATTTGTGTGGAAGGCATCCCAAACAGAAAAAATTCAGACCAAATCGTGCTTTCCCCTTCCATCTCCATCACTATTCAACGAGAAAAAATAGACAACTGCAATTTTAGAGTGAAGCTCTAAACATATAGATGTATGCTTGGCAAATGGTATGTGTGATAGTTAAAGAGTTAATTTCAGGTCAAAATGATCTCCAAACAGTTCAATTTATTTTTCCAGCTGCATTATCACATTCCTTAAGCAAAGGACAACACAAATCAAACTAGTGTGTGATCATGTTGACTTACAACACGAACGATATGCTTTATGCGTGATGTTTTCAATTCAAGCTCGTATAAATTACTATTTTCACAGTTCTCACAGCTACGAGGGAGAAAAATAAAAACACCCATGAGAAAGATAAACAAAGGTATCGTCTACCAGGTCAATAAGTATGTTCAGAGACCTACGATGATATGATAGACGTATTATTTTAGCTGATGAGTAAATATATATTAAAATGGTATATTTGATATCAACTTACTGACCATGTCTCATGTTGTTCCACATAGACATTAATTTTGTCTTCAGCTTCTCGCCGTCAAACAGTTCATCGTCATCACTGTCACTAGAATCTTTCATTTCCCTTGATTTCTGTCGAGAAGCACTCTGTATATTTAGTAAACCAGAGCCTAAGCTTCCGGCTGAACCCGCCATCTTGAATGTTTACGTTCAGGAACCTCCTGGAACCATATCAATTTATGCCACTAAGCCCTCACCATATATGTAATCAGCCGCAAAGTCATTCCCAGTTCTCGCTTGAAACTGACGCTGAAGTGTCACACTCAACTTGCGAAATCGATTTAATCACAGAAAAAAAACGATGGAAGATTATAATAGGGTGTTTATATGTGGAGTCTACTGTTATTCTCCTGCCATGAGGAGATAAGAAATCGCAGCCAAACGATCGGAGGGATATTACAGTCTCTGATTTCCAAATTTCTCATCTCGTTTTCAGCTCCGTGATCCGCTTGAAGCTATACTGAGATTTATTTTTCCTTCATCAATATGACACGAAACTTGAATTCAGGGGATCTTCGGTGTTTGACTTGAGCTTTTTTTTTTATTTTTTTGTTTTTTTTTCGCCCCCGGAAATACCGAAAGTTTAATCACCCCTAAGCACTTGGGCCCAAAATTTCCCGCAGAAAAAAATAAATTAGCCGATCATTGTCGAGTGAATTCATACAAGCTTTCGATTTGCCATCAATTGCTGCATTTTATGTCTCAGAGAGCAGCCAGACTTAGTTTTTGGCACTTTTAAAGAAGGTGGCAGCTCCACAACAGTAAGTTGAATTATGTGTCTCTCCACATCTTTATGGGTTCTAGAATGTGATGTGATTTGTTTTCTTATTGTGTAGCCCTCATTTGGCGGTGGATTTTGGGCAAGCAAAGGCTGAGGCTTCGGTACCTGGAATAGTAATGACAATTTTGTCGATGAAGCTCCCAGACGAAAGGGATAAGAGCTGAGCCAAAACCTCCTCGACGTGGTTTTGGCCCTGCAAATGGCTTCGAAAGTGGCTGTCACAATGCTTTTGGTGGAGGTAGAGTTCTAAATTGATTCTATTGTTTTTTTACAGACAGATCAGGCCCAGTGACAAATCTTCCCCCAGATCCATCTGAGAATGAGGAGGAGATGTTCCGTTCCATCGAGAGAGGCATCATCTGTGACAAGTACGATAAGATTCCAGTTGAGGTTACAGGAAAAGAGGCCATAACACCAATTCAAAGCTTCGAGGAGGCTAACCTCGGAAAATCTTTGTACACCAAGCCCACCCCTGCGCAGAAGTATATAATACCCACAATCCTTGCAGGAAGAGATTTCATGACTTGTTGTCAAACAGGATTAGGAAAGACAGTAAACATTATCCTTTAACACGCCAAGATCAGTGTGCATATCCTCCACATTGTTCTCAATACATTTCCAAAGATGCTGAGGAGAGATTTGTTTGAAAATCAAGAGCTTTTTCAGTTGATTATTTTCTTTATTCTCCTGACCTTAATGTAATTCAGGGGCCAGGGTCAAGTGGTGAAACAGACTGAGTGCATGTGTTTGGAAAGTACATAATGCGACCTTCCTCGAAGAAAAATTCCTTAAACACGAAGGCAAGAAATCTTTATTGGTGTCAAACTTGGGTGATGATGAACAATTGCACTGTCAGCTTTGGGTGCTTAAAAATAGCTGATACATCTTGCAAAACTTGGCTTAGAAATTCTTAGGTTGCTAATTCTAAACTTTTGTTGTGGCAATTTATATTTTAATTAGTCATCCTATGGATATGAATTTTTGTGTATGTTGCTGGCCATTATCGACTAATTTCCATTGTAATTCTTAGAAATCTATTATTATAATAAGGATGGAGAGAAATTTAAAAAATTAAAAAAAAATATGGCAAAGCTGTTGTTAGGCTTCTGTTCTACTACCAGTCAGCTGCTGTTGCTGTCATCCTGTTAATTGAATGATATGAGAGTAAAACTTTAGCACTTTTGTTCAATTCCAGGCTGCTTTTCTCCTACCTGCCATGTCTGAGATACTGAACAATTCACTGACCAGCAGTGAGCTGTCAGACATTCAAACTCCACAAGGTCTTTGTATTTCTCGGAAAGTTTTCATTGGAAATTATGCTAAAGCCAGTATGTATTTATGGAGGGGCCAGTGTATCACATCATTTGTGACAGGTTCAACGTGGTTGTAACTTTCTTGTTGCTACACCCAGGTGGCTCAAGTATTTCATAGAGGAAGGACTGGTTAGAGAACATGTAACATTAACCTGATCATTCATAAAAAAAAATGTAATAAATTGTACTGAAATGCTGGAAAGATTTATCCTTCTTTTGCTTGAATATAGGTTTATTTAAGGAATGGGGAGAGGGGAAATGTAGGCAGGGTGTCAAGAGCTTAATATATGTGAGGATCTTGGTGAAAACATGCAGGGGATGTCTGAAATTGCAGGAGAAGTAAAGCAGAACTATTGCAGTTCTTGATTACCAAAGACATCTTACAAATTGAACATTTCTCATAAGGGGTAACATTAATTTGATTCATTTCATTGTTTGTGTTTGGGTTTCCTTAAAGAATGTTCAGTTTCTGATTTTGGATGACACTGACACAATGCTTGACATGGATTTGAGGCAGACATCAGGAAAATTGTGGAGACATTGGAGATGCCTGAAAAGACAGAGAGACAGACTCTCATATTTAGTGCAACTTTCTCTGGGGAAATTCAATGTCTGGGTGGCAACTTTCTCAATGATTACTTGTTCTTGATGGCAGGGATGGTGGTATCTCATCAGACATTCAGCATACAATCTTTTTTTTTTTTTTTAAACAATTTTATTCTGACCTTTCATTTACACAGTTACAATTTTACATTCATAAAATAGGTTAAAAATGATAACAGTTGGATATATCTAACAATCTTACACAGTTACCCTATTTTCAGCTTAAGAAAATATACAAATTAAACTAATTAAACCAAGCAACATAACGTAAAAAAAAAAGAGAGAAAAAACAGGATAGAAGGCAAATCAGCTTAAGATTTTTTAAATTATTAACCATTCCTTTTCATTTGAATGTCCATTTCTTTTCAAAGAAGTTTTTCTTATTTTCTCAGCATACAATCTTGGATGTGCCAGAAGATCAGAAGTGAGAAAAGTTGACTGAATTACTCAGCTGCTCAGGGAAAGATGCAAAATCTGCTTTTTTGCAGTAGTTAAGAGTTAGGAGTGTTAAATTGTAGAGAAAGTCCCATTTGAGCTAAATTAAAAAGACTTTCATTAAAAAATATTGCATGATGCACCTAACTGTTGACCACATGGCTTTTGTTGAAATATGAAATATGGAGCCGGCTTTCTTGCAAGCTTGTTTTCGCAGGAAGGATTTCCTACTGTAAGTATCCATGGGTAACTTCAAAATCAGTTTGATGGTATACTCAACCACCAAAACAACAAAGATGGTACCCAAGTCATTTGGTGCTATATTGTTATCTCATATTGGTAAAATGCTGTTTTCAGTTTATATATTGGAAATGAAACTTGATGCATGTATGTATTGATCTGATTTTTTCAAAAAGTTTTTTTTTGAGTCAGTCTTAAGTTTAGTTACATTACCACCAGGAAATGTGCTGTAAACAACTGCAAACAAGTGCATGTTGTAAAACTTTCTTATTCAATCTCATCTGTGTTGAATTTTAGGACCAATTTCTTCGCTTTTGTCTATGAGTTCACAAATAGAGCAAATTTAGTACTTATAGAAAATGTTGAAAGATTTGTTGAAACAAGAATGGTTACTTGATGTGTTCAAATGTGGGCAATATGGTATTTTTATCAACAGTTTTAGACTCAGGGTTGGAGCTCAAGGATTATTGTATTCTTCACTTGGCCATACAACCGAAAGGGAAGCTACCTTCTGAGAAAATTGTTTTGGTTTAAAGTTAAATAGATTAAGGAAACTGTGTCTTATTATTATTCACAAGGCCAAAACATGCCACAGCTGTCACATATTTCAAATATTACCTTTTTAATTATAGAATTCGTGCAAGGCTGTAATGATATGTGTAGATGATTATACCCATCATGGGTAGGAGAAAAAATGGACCGAGCATGACCTCTAAGAAAAATTTTAATTCATGGAAAGCTATATTCCTTGGTTTTCCACAGTTCTTTCTTAACTGGATCTGCAGTATTGATTGTCATTGAATTCTGTATGTATGCACAGTGTTCAAAAAGGCCATAGGAGGCAGTTTGTTTTGTTTTCAGTGATTGCCTTCAGCAAGAAAGAGAGGAAGCTTTAAGGGACTTCAGGTTAGGCCGCTGTCCTGTTCCTATTGTCTCAAATGTTGATGCCCATGGCTTGGACATAGATGATGTCAAGCATGTTGTCAACTATGACTTGCCAAATGAGATTGAGGAGTTTGTACATAGAATTGGTAGAACAGGATGTATTGGGTATGAAGGCAAGGCTACAACTCTCTTCCAGAAAGGAAAAGACAATAAGATTGCTAGGGCAAAATTCTGTCTGATGCAAGTACTTTCTTTTGGTTTGTGTTTCATGATGTTGCTTTGTTATGTTTTGTCTTTTCTTAATATGAGTGAGTAAATTGATTCACTTCATGTATGTTGAGCAGGTCTTTAACTTTAGCAGTTCTGTTGAATGCAAATTTTATGATACATCCATGCACCTTAATCATCCAGTGCATATCCTTGGTTATCTGGCTGCTTAGAGTGCACATTGTTCTTCATTATCCAGTGGAATCTGTTCTTTGGGTGAATCATTTGCCTACCTTTAAAGCAAACTTTTTGAAGGCACCATTTTTTGACCCAAAAGTGGGTACAGTGTAGTACTCCAAGCTATTCTGTAGTATGTTATGGCCTGAGTTGCTCTGAAAAGTTGACATTTCTTCTGACTTGCATGTGCTCATTGTAGGCTTCACAAGAGGTGCCAGAATGGTTAGAAGAGATTGCAGAGAGTGCAGAAGGCACAAGTTATGGCCCAGCAGGAGGTCATTTTGCATCCAGAAACAACAGGAAACACTGGTACACTAAAAATTTTTTGACAACTTCTCATGGTGTAACATACATGAAGCAATTAATCTTTTACACCCAGACATCTAGTCAACATGCATATTCTCCATGCTGTTCTCTGCAACATTTGCAATGATGCTGGCAAGGAGGATTTGTTTATTAACAATCAAGAGTTGGTGACCATTAATATAATTATATTGTGACCTCAACATTAAATTTAGGGGTGATACTTCAAGGGAATATTAGATGCTAGCCACCCTTACTGGTTATATGTCAGTTTTAATGATGCCCCTCTGCTTAAAAAAAAAATGATACAAACTGCTGTTGTATCTGAAAATCTTTGACATACAGTAATGTAAAACAAATGCAAATTTTGCCATTAAAAAATTGAGTACTTATCCTATCCATGGTTATTTGAAGAGCAAAGAGCCAGATGTACAGTTTTATTGTTACATCATAATTATTTCCATTCACATAAATGTTCAATTTGTAGCCTTGAAATGTTTTAGGTAGTTAATGACCTCAAGAAGTTAAGAGTTTCTTCTTTACATTCAGTGCAATTTCCCACTGCAAACAAAGATAAGCAGTTAGAAATTCTTCTTTTTATACCTGAGCAATGTTAAACCTCTGATTTGATCTTTTTGGTAGTTTGGCAACAGCAATGGCTGGGGAGGAGAGTGGAATAGTGAGGAAGCTAATGCTCAAACTAACGGCCAAAATAGCGGCACTGTTGCCTGGTCTTTGGGAGGTTGGGAGAACACTCGATAATCTCGCTTATCTCGTGTTCTCCCAACCTCCCGCGTGTTTACATCAGGCTATGTAAACACGGAAACCATTTTACATTTCTTCACGATAAAATTTTTTGGAGCAACTGCAGAATATCCTGCCACTTTGGTCCACCTCATTTGCATGTGCCGGGAGGCTTTGAAGATCGAGGCATAACACAATAAACGTTATTCTAACTCAGTGACATGTAAATGGTATTCTGAAGCTTAGCCACTAGATTCTTTCGCTTCTCTTGATTTCTGTCGAGAAGCGCTCTTTACATTAAATAACCCAGAGCCTAAGCTTCCATCCTTCATGTTTACGTCTAGAAATATCCTCAACATATACGTAATCAGTCGCAAAATCTTTCCCAGTTCTTCGCTTAATAAATAACTGACGTCGAAGTTGGTTTTGCGGTTTCACACCTCACTTGCGAAATCGATTGAAACACAAAAAATAAAACAATAGATGTTTGACATCTGACTGATTCGAGCGATGCTGCAATCTCTGACTATCGAAGTTCCTATTTTATTTCCAGCTTTGTGATCCGGCTGAAGCTATAGATTTACTTTTCAATTTTCCTTCGTTAGTAAAACACGAAAATTATCGCATTAAGGGGATCTTCGGCGTTCGACCTGAGCTGTTTTTTTTTTTTTTTTTCTCGTCTCCGGAAATACCGAAAATTTTATCGCACCAACCACGTGATCACAAAATTCCGCGGAAAAAAATAAATCAGCCAATCATTGTCGAATGAACTCACGTGTACAACCCAGAAGATTTCACGCTCTTGCGATTTCATACAAATTTTCGATTTGTCATCAGTAGATTCACTTTATGTCTGAGAAAGCAGCCAAGCTTAGTTCGTGGCACTTTTAAAAGGTCTTTGATCTGAAAAAAATTCACAGAAACGTTTCAATCAGTATATTAAGTTTTTTAAATCGCGGGAAATTGTCTTCATAGTTGAAATCGTCGAAATCAACATGGCAGACGATTGGGAAGATGGCAGCTCCACAACAGTAAGTAGGACGATGTGTCTCTTTACATCTTTCTGGATACTGGAATGTGATGTGATATGTTTTCTTGTGTAGACTTCATTTGGTGGTGGATTTGGGGCAAGCAAAGGACGAGGCTTTGGTACCTGGAGTAGTAATGACAATTCGGTCGATGAAGCTCCCAGACGAAAGGGCTTCGGAAGAGGAGGTTTTGGCCCTGCAAATACAGACAGTACATTGACAAATGGCTTCGAAAGCGGCAACCAGGGTGCTTTTGGTGGAGGTAGAGGCTTTGGCCGTGGTGGCGGTGGCAGCGACAGTGAGAAGCCAGCAGCACGTGGTTTTGGCAGTAGTGGAGGGGGATTTGGTAACAGAGCCGGTGGATTTGGCCGCAGTGGTGGTGGCTTTGATGATGGAACTGATGATGAACCTCGAGAAAACGGAGGAGGCTTTGGTTCAAAGAAGCGTGGTGGCTTTGGTGGCAGTGGTCTTGGAGGAGGAGGAGGAGGAGGGGGGGGTGGATTTTCAGGAGGTGATGATGGAGAAGATGGTGGTGGGAGAGGAGGTGGATTTGGTAGCAGTAGTGGTAACAGGAAGGGAGGTGGTGGATGGCACACTGGCGGGGAAGAAGGGCACTTTGCAAAAGAATACCCCAGCAGGAAAAGTGGTGGTGGAGGTGGAGGTGGAGGTGGAAGAGGGTGTCATAGTTGTGGTGAAGAAGGGCATTTTGCTCGAGAGTGTCCGACTAAAGAGCAAGAGGAAAGTGAGTACATTTTTTAAACGGCTAAAAATCAAAGAAAAGCTCAGGACTCTGTACACCAAAAGCATGATTTTCTTGCCAAGTTTGCTGTTGTATCAATTTAACACTTTAACTCCCAGATCAAATTTGTCTTTCTCCTTATTGTCAACCATACAATTCTCATAATGTTAGGTCAGAGAATTTAGTATTGGATCAACTAATTATCCCCAAATTGACATTTTTCTTTATTCTCATCCCCTATCTGGTTGATATTGTATTGATATTAAAAAGAGAATTTCTGTCTCTGTCACTTATAGGAGTGAAAGGGTTAAGTGACCACATAGTCACTCATGAAAAAGCCTAATGTCCAAATAGTAGATGAAATCAGAAGTAGTTCTTTTTTGAAGTAACAGATGTAAAGCCAGAAAATTGGGTAAATGACCAAGGAATTTAAGTAGATTGATGTAAGTAGCAAATTTAAAAAAATTCAGATTTAGGAAGATCTTATTAATTTCATGTTTAAAAATCAATTTTGCCATGGGGCTTTTGTTTGATTAGACTGATTTGGTATTCAAAGGATTTTTTTATTGTTTTGTTGTTGCTTTGGGTATCTTTTCTCAATATGAGTTACAAAAAATTTGTTTAAAAGTTATCTTTTCTCTCCCAAGCAACAAAAACTAGAGGTTTGTTTTTTCCATTTGTTTTAAAATGATGCTATTATGTTTTTTAACAGACAAACCAGGTCCTGTGACATATGTTCCCCCAGATCCATCTGAGAAGGAGGAGGAGATGTTCCGTTCCATTGAGAGAGGCATCAACTTTGACAAGTACGATGAGATCCCAGTTGAGGTTACAGGAAAAGGAAAAGAGACCATAACACCAATTCAAAGCTTTCAGGAAGCTAATCTGAGAGAATCTTTGTTATTAAATGTCCAAAAAGCAAAGTACACTAAGCCCACCCCTGTGCAAAAGTATGCTATACCCACAATCCTTGCAGGAAGAGATGTCATGGCTTGTGCTCAAACAGGATCCGGAAAGACGGTAAACATGATCCTTTAACAAACATCAGCATATTCATCCGTATCAGTACAAATAGCAAATGTCAGGATGCATTTCCTCCTCTCTATTCCCAATACACTTTCAATAGGATTGGAAAGCACATGATGTGACCTTCCTTGGAGATAAACGCCTTTAGTTTCACCAAGAAAGCTTTATTGTTGTCAAACTTGGGGGATGTTACGCCGTTGCTTATTCAACTTCATTGGCTACCAATTGAACAAAGAATAACTTTCAAAATTGCAGTAATTACATTTAAGGCGCTTCATGGTGCTGCACCTAGCTATATCACTGATCTCATCGAGCCTTATACACCTGGTAGACTTCTTAGATCCTCCAATCAATTTTTACTTTCTACATCTTAATTTAATCTTAAAACTTATGGTGGCCGGTATTTTACTATTGCCGCACCTTCTGTTTGGAATGCACTTCCATTCGAACTTAGATCTTGTAATTCCCTTTCTTCTTTTAAATCTAAGCTCAAGACATGGCTTTTTAAAATTGGTTATGATGTTGTATAGAATGATGATGTTTTTATAGGATGACAATGTAGTTTTGTAGTTTTGTAGGTTTAGGATTTTGTTCTTATTTTTATTATGTAAAGCGCTTTTGGACCATTGGGAATTTTTATAGAATGACAATGTAGTTTGTAGGTTTAGGATTTTGTTATTTTTATTATGTAAAGCGCTTTTGGACCATTGGGAATTAGCGCTCTATAAATACTGTGTATTATTATTATTATTATTACCATTGCACTGTGAACGCTTGGTGCTGATGATGGCTAATGCATCTTGAAAAACATGGCTTAAAAATTCTTGGGTGGTTAATGTTAAACTTAAGTTGTCCCAATTTATACTTGAATTAGTCATCCTATGGATATGTCTTTTTTTATATTGCTGGTTGTTATCAAATGATTTCCCTCGCATGATAGGAAATTCTGCAGCATTGTATTTTCTTTTTTTCTTGTGTATATTCCTTCCAATGAACTCCTACACTTGTAACTCTTAAAAATCTATCATAATATGGGTGAAGAGGAAAAAAAAAGTCAAGAAATGGCCATGCTGTTGTCAGGCTTATGTACTTCGATGCATCAGCTGTTATTACTGTCATCCTGTTAATTGAATGATATCAGAGTAAAACTTTAGCATTTTTGTTCAATTATAGGCAGCTTTTCTCCTACCTGCTATGTCTGGTATACTGAACAGTGGATTGGCCAGCAGTGAGCTGTCAGGCATTCAAACTCCACAAGGTCTTTGTATTTCTCCCACAAGAGAACTGGCTAGTCAAATTTTTAATGAGGCTCGAAAGTTTTCATTGGGAACTATGCTAAAGGCAGTGTGTATTTATGGAGGGGTCAGTGTTTCACATCATTTGCGACAAGTTCAACGTGGTTGTAACTTTCTAGTCGCTACACCCGGGCGACTCAAGCATTTTGTTGAAGGAGGACAGGTGAGAGAACATGTGATGACCTGATTATTGAAAAAAAAATGTAATAAATTGTAATGAAACATTTGAATCATTTATCCTTATTTTGCTTGCATATAGGTGTATTTAAGGAATGAGGAGTGGGAAATATAGGCAGGGTGTGAGGATCCTGGTTAAAACACGAAGGGGATGCCTGTCATTACAGGAGAAGTAAAGCAGAACTTGATTACTAAAGACACCTCATGATAAATTTCTCATAATGCATAACATAATTTGATGTATTTGGTTGTTTGTGTTTGGGTACTAGGTTTCCCTTGAGAAGGTTCAGTATCTGATTTTGGATGAAGCAGACAGAATGCTTGACATGGGATTTGAGGCAGACATTCGGAAAATTGTGGAGACACTGGGAATGCCTGAAAAGACAGAGAGACAGACTCTCATGTTCAGTGCAACTTTCCCTGAGGAAATTCAACGCCTGGCTGGTGACTTCCTCAATGATTACTTGTTCTTGACAGTAGGAAGGGTTGGTGGTACAACATCAGACATTCAGCAGACAATCTTGGATGTGCCAGAAAATCAGAAACGAGAAAAGTTGACTGAATTACTCAGCTGCTCAGGTAAAGATGCAAAATCGAAATGATGGATACTCTATTCTACTTTATTTTTATTTTTTTTTTGGCAATAGTGAAGGGTTAAGAGTGTTAATCATTCAAAAAGTCTCATTTGCGCTGACTCGAAAGACTGTGAAAAATATTGCATGATGCACCTAACTGTTAACCACATGGCGTTTGTGGAAATAAGAAATGTGTCAAAGAAAATAAGCAAGTCTTATTAGTGATATGCACTGTCTCTCTCACTCAACTCTGGACGATAAACATAATGTAAGGAACATGTAACAGCTTGCAACGTGACTGCCAAATGCAGATCACCTATATCTTTTCAGCCTGACATGACCACAGACTGGTCATGGCTTGGAGCATTGTGAAAGTTGCCATCATTCTAGTAACCACAATTTATGTCCTATTGCCAGGTACTGATAGGACCCTTGTGTTTGTGGAATCAAAGCGTGGAGCAGACTTTCTTGCAAGCTTGTTGTCGCAAGAAGGATTTCCTACTACAAGTATCCATGGGTAAGTTGGAAATCAGTTGATAATGTAGTATACTCCACCACAAAAACAACTTGGATGGTACTTAAGTCTTTTGGTATTACACTTTACATCATTATCTACCTTTAGTAAAATGCTGGTTTTAGTTTATGAAATGAAAATGAAACTTAATGAATGCATCAGATTTTTTGAAGAAAGATTTTTTTAATTTTAAAGAGTCTATCTTAAATTTGGTCACAGTACCACCAAGAAATGTGCAGTAAACAATCTGCAAACTAGTGCATGTTGTCATTTGTGTTGAATTTTATGGCCAGTTTCTTTGCTTTCCTCTATGGGAGTTCAAAAAATGTTGAAACAGAAATAGTTACTTGATGTGCTCTCCACCAAATGTGGGCAATATGGTATTTTTATCAACAGTTTCTTAAACCCAGGGTTGGAGCTCAAGGATTGTTGTACTCTTCATCTGGCCATACAACCAAAAGGGAAGCTGCCTTTTGAAAAAGTTGTTTTGGTTTAAAGTCTAGATCAATGCAACTCTGTTTAATTCTTTCCAAAGGCTAAAACATGTCACAGCTGCTATGCTTTTCAACTCTTGCTTTAGAATTTATGTGAGGTAGTAGAGATAGATGATTTTCACCCAAACCAAGGATTAAGGAGAGAAATTGTCTTCATAGTCCAAACTACATGGGGCTTCTAAGAAAAAATTAAATTTATCAAAAGCTATGTTCCCAGGTTTTCCAGAAACTTTCTAAACTGGATCTGCAGTACTGATTGTGAATTTCTATGTACAGTGTTCAAAAAGTGAAAAAATGTTAGAAGGCAGTTTGTTTTGTTTTCAGTGATCGCCTTCAGCAGGAAAGAGAGGAAGCTTTAAGGGACTTCAGGCTAGGCCGCTGTCCAGTTCTTATTGCCACAAATGTTGCTGCCCGTGGCTTGGACATAGATGATGTCAGGCATGTTGTCAACTATGACTTGCCAAATGAGATTGAGGAGTTTGTACATAGAATTGGTAGAACAGGACGTATTGGGCATGAAGGCAAGGCTACAACTTTCTTCCAGAAGGGAAAAGATGATAAGATTGCCAGGGCACTTGTGAAAATTCTGTCTGACGTAAGTACAGTCTTCTTCTTCATGTTTCATGATTTTGTTTTGTCGTGTTTTGTTTATTTGCAATATTAGTAAGTTGTTTCATTTCATGTATGTTGAGTAGGACTTGAAATTTAGCAGTTCTGCAAAAAACAAATTTTATGATAACACATCCACCCAAATGCTAAACAGCATAAATTTACCATCCAGAGCATATCTTTGGTTATCTGGCCACTTAGAGTGCAAATTGTTTTTTATTATCCAGTGGAAGTCGGTCTTTTGTAAGTCATCTGCCTACCTTAAAGACAAACCTTTATCAAGGCACCATTATTTACCAAAATTATGAAATTATCATCTTAATTAATGTTTTAGTGGGTACAGTGTTGTACTCCAAGCTATTCTGTTGTAAGCATCTCGAATCCAAATTGATGTAAAGTAATTCTATGTTATGGCCTGAGTTGCCCTGAAGAGTTATCATTTCTTCTGACTTGCAAGTGTTCTTTGTAGGCTTCACAAGAGGTGCCAGAATGGTTAGAGGAGATTGCAGAGAGCGCAGTAGGCACAAGTTATGGCCCAGCAGGAGGTCGTTTTGCATCCAGAGACACCAGGAAACAGGTACATTAAAAAAAAATTTTGACAAATTCCCATGGTTTTACCTTCGTGGAACAATGAACCCTTTACACCATAACATCAGTATGCATATTCTACAAACTTTTCTTTGCACATTTGCTCTGATGCTGATAAGGAGAACTTCTTTAACAATCAAGAGCTTCTTGAGTTGGTGATGATTTTTATTATTCATGTGAGCTCAATGATTGTTGTGGGGGTGATACTGCAAGGGGTCAATGTTAGTTTCAATGATGCACCTCTGCTTCAAAGAAATAAAATGGCCCCAACTGCAGTAGTATCTGAAAATCTTTGTCTCACCTGCACATGTAAAACAAATTCAAATTTTGTGTGCAATGTTTAGAGTGATCATTGAGTACCTGTGCTATCCATGTTATTGAGTTATCATACACTAAGAGAGATTTTAACACATGGTTATTTGAAGAGCAAAGAGCAAGATGTACATTTTTATTATTACATTATATCAATTGTTTATCACCTTTTTTTGCCTCAGAATGTTCTAGGTAAATAATGTCATCAAGATGTTAGGAGTTTCTTGTTTATATTCAGTGCAGTTTCCCACTGCAAACAGAGATAAGTAGTTAGGAATTCTAATTTTTATAGCTTAGCAATGTCTTAAACCTTTGTTTTGATCTTTGTGGTAGTTTGGCAACAGTGATGGCTGGGGAGGAGAGTGGAATAGTGAGGAAGCTAATACTCAAACCAGCCAGATTAATGGCACTGCTGCCTGGTCTTCAGCTGGTGGTACAGAGGAAGAAGAGTGGTGATTTTGCATCTTTGGATTATTTGCTATTGTTCTGTTACATGCCATCAAGTGGCATGAATACAGTTTTTACATTGGTTACTTGGTTTCAGTTTAGCGTTATTGAGAGTTTATTGGATTGGATACATGTACTTTACCTTAACGTTGTTGAGCTGAACTATAATGGATTGGAGTTACATACTATTGACAACAGCTGGTGTCAAACCTTGGCTGAAAGATGAGGAGAATAAAAACTACTGCAATTATTTTTTACATCACAGTGAACCAGCATGTGTGATGGAACAAGGGTAATTGAAAAATATGATCACTGGATTCATCAGAGCTGGACATCTTCTGTTAAGTTCCAAACTGCTCATCTCTTTTGTTGTGCAGTTGTTTTGGAACATTGATAGTTAACAGAGTTGTCACTTTATGAAAAGTGAACCCACTTCACCAGAAGACTACATGTAGCTTTTACATGCTGCAGTCTGTGATGCACCTGTCTGGACTGATTACTACCTACACTTTACATAGGAGAATACTGAAAACAAAACTGAGATTTCACACAGGACAAAACATGCCACAGCTGCAATGCAGGGTATTAGATCAAGGAAGTTAATGGCAGGGAAAACTGTCATTAACTAGAAATGATTATGAGTTAGTCATTCGGATCAAAACCAGCCTAGACTTGCCATCAAGGCTTTACAAGAGACTTGGCGGCAGTGTAGCCTGTTAGTGATTTTTTTGCGTGCAGTCATGGGGCATTGTTTTTGCACTGTGCTCATCTTGATATTCATCAATTGCTATGATGCAGTAGCATTGAATGTACAATGACCAACTATTTTCTTGGAGCCTGCTTCTAATTAAAATTGCAGCCAAGGAGCAATAATTTTTTAAACTACTTGAAAGCTGTGTCTCCATATGAACCTAAGAATGGATCTTCCTGGGGTGGAGACACTGTACCATCTACTTCCATGGACAGTGAGAAAACAAGAACTATGGCCCTGTAATGCATCAACCCTTGGAATCACCAGGTATTTTATTTGCCAAGTGAGGAGAAATGGTTAAATCCTATGAAATCCAAGTTATTGTAGTGTGGTATCATAAAGGAGTCTTTCAAACAAATGGGCTTCATTCTACTTGGAACTGATCCAGATAAAAACCATTTTAATGCTGGAGAGTATTTGGGTTGTTGCATTTTCCTGCCTTTGGTTTTGGGTGAAATAATTTGCTATTTGTGCTCAACTTTACAAAGAGGTAGGTCCTGTATTACTAACTGAAAGTCCTCTCACAAGGGGCTGGTGACAAAAAAGTGAAACTTATTGAAAGAAATGCTGTGATTGCCCACAACAAAATAGCAGCTTTTGTGGTGTGCTGTAAACAATTGACAATTAACATTGACTTGAACCCAAGAAGCTTCAAGATAGATTGGAGAAATGCAATGGCAAGCTCTCAAAGCTCATGGAATGTGATGATTCGTCAATGGACATGACTAAAACTTGATGTATTGTTCAGCATCTTGCTCTTGAAGCCCTACATCTGCTCACGACATGTTAGCACTATTTGATTGGTTGCAGGGCTTCAACCCAAACTTTTTTTAAGTAAGTGGTACATGTTTACATTCAGCTTTTAAGAAACTGTAGATTTGTTATAGTTGAGTCATAAATAACATTGTTTTGAGCCTAAAGGCACATAATTTTGAAGCAAACCATAGATTCATTAAAGATGTTTTAAAACTCTAGTTACCCATTTAGTTTATTGCTGCCATCATCTGTCTCTCAGAAGTGACCAACATGTAACTTCTTCCAATTATATCCATACATTTTCCAGCAAACAGTTAAAAGAATACTAAAACTTATCAGGAAGAAATTTTTATCTTGATATTACACTAAATTCTCATAACTTATTTACCAGGAATTTTCTAGCAGCAAGAAGAGAGAATTAACAATCAGATCTTGGGAGTGAAAGGGTTAAATGTACTTAGTGACTGGTTTGGTTTGGTTCACTGGTTTTGTTTTGCTTTACTTCACTATGTGACTGGTCCAGAAAACCTACAGCACACAGCCAATCAGATGCAAAACTAAGAGTTTTTTGTTTTAACTTTGAGTTCACATGGGCTCTTCAGGTTTGATTGATGTAAGTAATTCCCTCTGTCTGCATGACTGCAACACCCATCCACATAGAAAAGTAGAGAAACCTCCTCAGTCTGTTAGCACAGTTTGGGTTTCCACCCCACCCTCTTGAACAAAAAGAAGAACAAAACTTCCACAGTAGTATTCTCAAATTATTTACACCAAAGTTTGTCTGTATTCAGCCCACAATACTTACATGAGACGTAATGTTGATAAATAAAGAGAAACTATTTTTTCTTAGAAATCTTCTTTAAGTCTCCAGAAGTTGATCACTAAGAAAGGTATAGGTGTATGGACAGCCTCATGCCTGTAGCTGAAATTTAAGTTTTAACCCTCTTCTCTTCAAAAGTAGCAGTAATTTCCTCTTGTGGTATCAACTGAATTTTTTTGAGAGGTGATCAGAGTTACAAAAAATATCCATATTAACACTAAACGGCAGAAGCAACATAAGTGTAAGTTAGGTAGTTCGGAATATCAGTTTTATAACTGACATCTTCAAAGTGTGTCAAATATTCTTCAAACCAGATAATGCCCTCCTTTTTTTGGCAGGAAAAGACAAATACTCCAACATTATTGTGAACAGCTGGTACTAAAACAAGATGGCTTCTGGTGACTTTACCAAATTCTCCAATTTCGCAATTCTATAAGTGAAAACTTTCCCCACATCCACAAACTCCTTTAATGTTGGGATTATTGAACACAAATTCACTGGCAAGCTTATCTTCTACATAGTCCATTTCTGTTCCTAGCAGTGATAATTGTGCCCTGGAATCAATATAAATCTTTACACCTGTTGAGAAAAACATTGGTAATCTGAGATAATAATGCAATTTCCACCTTCTGTGAGCCTTAACCTTTAATCTCTCATGAGTGAGCAAGAAACAATTACTCATTGCAGTACCAATACAACATAAATACTAGCAAGTGATGAGAATAAATGAAAATATAAATTGGGGGATTATTAATTTGGTCCAATACCAGATTCTCCAAAGTAACCTCAAAATTGTGTGACAGACAGTAAGGAGAAGTACTAACGAGATCTTGGGAGTGAACCTGGCTAAGTTTCACAATTTTCCCCATTTCTAAGCAGCTGACAAGGGAGATACTTACATTATTCGAGTCATATTTATAGTATTAGAGGGGATAAAAATTTGATAGCTTTCATCAGTTTGCTTCTCATTCAAAATTTGTGCATTCACTTCATTTTTTCTGATGAAGGTTGGGAGTCGGTTTTCCAAGTCAAGTTTTAGTGCAAGTGCTGAGTAACGCATCAATGAACAAATTTTGCAAACAAAAATTATGCAAATTTTAGGTTCATCTTGTTACAAGTAACCAAAGGTGTTACGTTTCAAAAGAACAAAAATGTTCGTTTCATTTCTGGCAACTTTTCATCTGAAAGATTTTCGTGAAAAGTGAAAACAATACGATGTGGTCTATATATTTTAATCAACAAACACCTACGGTATCGGTGTTTAGAATTTACCATGTTAAAACACACGTGACCAGTATTTGCTAAAATCAGGAGAAATTTTTCACTGGAGTTCAGGATCAAAACCTTTTGTTTACGTTCCTCACAAATGATTATGAAGTAAAATTAAGACAGATAGTTTTCTCTGAATTAGTTAGAATTGGTCACGGGCAACATTTACCTCCAATGTTTTTTTTCAATATTTGCTTTTACTTTATGCACGAGATCACAATAAGTCTCGTTTGACATGTGATGCCATACTTAGTCTTGTTTATAGCGGAGCTCGCAGAGCGTAGCCCCATAATTATACAAAATAGTAGTAACCCACCAAGCCGAAAAAATTTGGATGTACTACCGTACGACCGTACAAGGTGCTACTTTTAACATGCGTGGTCAACTGTACCGCGAGCACGCCAACGCCACGGCTTTGTCCAGTAGGCCAGTGGTCAGTGCACTAGGCTCCGAGTCGGACGATCCAGGTTCTAGTCCTGGCCGAGGCAAGGCGTTGTGCCCTCGAGACGTGCGGGAAAAAAATGCGAGCTCCGCTTTTAGGCTTGGCTAAATCTATGTATTACAGATTTCACTTCGTCGGAGCTACTTTTGGTCAGCATGAATTTATTAGGAATTTACAACATTTGTCTTACAGTACTTCTGTAACTTTAATTCTCCGAAATTCTTCACTTGCCCTTCGGGCACGTAAAGCACATAATTCACTAGCCCAATCGCAAAATCCACTAGCCCCGAGCTATCGGACACGACTTTTTTTGCACGCTATTGTTGATAACAAAAATTGGCCACCATTAGGGGTTTAGATGGTGATGTTTCGAGCGTTAGCCCTTCGTCAGAGGGAACTGCTTACAATTTAGCTTACTTTTGCTAGTTTAGGTTGTTCTTTAGCCACAACATGCAAGAAATGTTTCTGATGCTCATGGTTTTCTGAGTTTTACACGATTCAAGTTTTCCAAAAACAAACTTACCATCTTGACTGACCTCCTCATCAAACTTTCCCTTTTCATTGGCATAATCCAATGTATAAGTGAGGCCATTACAACCTTTTTGTTTGACACCAATTCTTAAAGCAGGCTGGAAAAGAAAAAAAGACATTTAAAATTAATTACAAGCATGTAATAGGTAGCATTTCTGCATTTCCTTCAAATTTAAAGAATCTGAGAATAACCGTACTTTCTCGGTTATAAAGCGCACTCGGTTTTAAGACGCACCCCAAACTTAGCAACTTAGTCTAGCCAAGTTCCCAAACTGAAAATTTCGTGAAAATATTCGGTTCTATGACATACCAAAAGGTTAAGAGTTAATAAAAGGATGTGATAGAACTGAGAACGATTATCGCTAAACAGCTGGCATGTGAACTCTTTTGCTGACGTAAATAAAAGTGAAAAAGTCGCACATTTAATGAGCTACGTAAAAACCAGGGCTAAAATTTCACAACTGTAAGGAGAAACAAAACGCATCCTTGTTTATTTCAGCCTTCCTCCTTAGAATTATGCTTCTCTTTACAAAATTAAATAATAAATATTCAATGATCCGATTTCATTCTAATAACATCAACCGACTGACTTAAAACTCACTTACAAAACTAACTGATATGTTCTCATCGTAAACAGTCAGAGTTTCACTTTAACTTCTTGTTCGATCACAAATATGCTAAGCACTCGCCGTCAATCGTTTGACCTCAAAGTAAAGTTAAAAATCGTCACCGAAGCCGAGGCAGTCACAACAGTCGTGGAATTGCCCGTGAATACCGCATTTCAGAATCCATGGTGAGGAAATGGCGCAACCGGCAACATGTCCTGTTTTCTGGTGAGCTGCGGATGACAACAAAGTGTGCATCCACAAACGCTACCGACCGAAGGACCTGTTTTGGATATCATGTTACCGAGCACTTGCTGTTAAGAACGTATGCAAATTTCTGTATGTTTGCTAAAAGAAGTATTCCTTTTTAATTCATAGCAATATGGGATTGAATTTGACGCAATCTTCGCTACACCTCAGACCAAACAGCTCTAATTTTCTCCTTTTTCTCTCAACGATTAGTGTCTTATTGTTGCCTTTTAACTGTAGGCTCTGCTAAAATTGTGATCTTAAGATTTTGTTGTGCAAAAATACTTGGCTATAGGATGCACTCCAATTTCAGCACTAACTTTCCAACCAAAGACAGAATTTTCTTGAAAAAACTGTGCTCCTTATAATCAAGAAACTACAGATCACATTTCCTTGATCAATGCCAAGGGACCAAAGCCATGGATAGTTTTAATGATTATTTATTGACTATAACATGTATTTAGCCAGTACCATGCTCTCAGTGAGTGGAGGCAAGCAAAAAAGCAGGTGCAATCAAAATGACAAGCAAGCAGCAACAACAGTTCTGGTTGTCTGGGGGCACAGCCTTCTGCATGCATTTCCCTTCCTCCTCCTATTTATTTCCCAAATTTCATTTTTCTCTTGCATACAGTTTTGCTCATCTACAATGACTGACAACCTTATGCAGGATATCAATTATTGAGTTCACTTACTTTTGCGTAAGCATGTACCTAAGAAAAACATAACTTTTTTAAAGCTGACACTAGACTATAAGCATGTCTTACATTTTCTGTTTCTGGTGTGAACAGTGACTTAAGTTTTTGTACAGCAGCAGGTGTCTGAAAAACAAATGAAGCATAATTGAGTGTGGTGTGATGAACAAATTGGACTAAAAGTTTCATTACTTTTAGTAACCTTTCAACTACCAAGATCTAATTGTTAATTCCCACCTCCAGCTGCTACACATTTCCCTGTTAACTAGTGATGAGAATTTGATGCTGGATCAAGAGAACTTCTACCTGTTAAGTTTGCATATCCTCATTATCTGTTTTCTGGATGATGTATCGATATTATGGGGATAAGTTACATGTTAATTACTTCTGGGCGTTTAAAGGTTCACTGAAAAACAAATGATCCATAGTGAGAGTGGTGTAGGATAATTTTCCTGGCCCTTGCTACAAACAAATTGGACTAAAAGTTTCATTACTTTTATTAACCCTTAAACTACCAAGATCTAATTGTTCATTCCCACCTCCAGCTGCTACACATTTCCCTGTTAACTAGTGATGAGAATTTGATGCTGGATCAAGATAACTTCTACCTGTTAAGTTACATATCCTCATGATCTGTTTTCTGGATGATGTATTGACATTATGGGGAGAAGTTATGTGTTAATCACTCCTGTGGGTGAACCCTTTAACTCCCATGAGCTACCAAGACAGAATTTCTCCTTACAATATCAAAACAATATCAAGCAGACAAGTGATGAGAATAAAGAAAAATATCAATTAGGGGATTATAAGTTAATCCAATACCAAATTTTCTAAATTTACATCACAAGAACTGTATGGTAGACAGCAAGAAGAATTACTAATGAGATCTTGGGAGTTAAAGGGTAAAGAAATTGTCTACTTGACTGATAGACTTCTGTGAGCTATTTAACAAATAGTTTCCAAGTTGCCGTGCAGCTGTTCAGTAATAGATCACAGATGATGTCAAAATGAGGTAAGAAGAAAAAAGTGGCAAACAAGGCACAGCCGATTGTGTCACTGATGTTCATACCACATTTTGACGTCCTCTGTGATCTATTACTGAACAGATGCATGGCAACTTGGAATCTATTTGTTTCATATAATAAAGAATTAAAAAAAGTTTTAATGATGATGTCATCTATATGTCTGTCCTCCAATAGATCATAAGTGAGAACCAATCAGAATGTGTGCATAGCTGAGCTTATTATATAATACTGATTACATGGTACTCATTTTGATGGGTTCTTACTTAAGATCAAGCAGAGGAAAGATGTTGCAAGGATGATGTAACTATTAATATTATAATACTTTACTTATCCCCACATTTTGACATCATCTGTGGTCTATTACTGAACAGATGCACAACGACGTGTAATCTAATTGTAAAACAGACCGAAGGCAGCATTGAATCTATTTGTTTTTTATGATTAAAACTTAAAAAGCGAAATATGGTTAATGGTGACGTCATTTAATCGTCAGTTTAGCCATAAATCATGAGTCATAACCAATCAAAGTGAGTGAAGGCTTCAGTTCATCATAAAAAAAGAAAATGAAAAAAAAACAGAGATATTTCAAATCAATATCCACTTCTTCGACGTTTTGATTACATAAGATCGTGAAGATCGTGTTTCAGTGTATATAAATGGGATAAACTAAAATTGTTTGATTGAACACATTAAATTAAAAGTGGAATGGTAGATTTATAAATTCTGGAATAGGACAAAGTCAAGCTGTGATAAAATAGTTGAGAGGCCAATGCGAGAAGTCTCTCAAATCGTAAATTTGCCACTAGTAGATATGCAACCAACTTGATGTAACGTAAACTTACTGTTGCCCCGTATGACGACTATTCAATCGTAACAGAAATATTCCACTATGTTTTAGACTTACTAGTGTAATTGCAGCTCTTCTAGCGGCAAATTTCCTCGGTTTATTGACTGCTCTAACCGCCGCCCCTACAGCGGTTCGGCCCGCCATGTTAGCTCTTCTTCTTCTTCTTGTAAGTTGTCCTACGCCACGGATTGTGATGTCACAAAAACCACCTCGGTCGAGAGGGACTGAGATAGAATGATGGACACCTCATGACATGCTATACTAATGAAAAATTATGACGCTACGAAAACATGCCGATTTATCCCGATCAACTGAGTGTGTACCATTTGTTTGGGAACTGCGTCAAAAATTTTTACCCAAGAAATAGCAAGTATTAATTCATTGCTCGATAGTAGTATTATAAATCATTTGGCGCAATTTTTGCAGATATTTCACATATTTAAATGGTGCTAAGGTGTTAGGTAGTTTTGGTGGATGTTAGGAGTGGACATCCACCTCGCGGATTTCCGAGAATCTTCGGTTATGATTTGCAAGCTATTAAATATTCCATCTTAGTCGCTCTCGACCGAGGTGGTTTTGGCGGATCTAATGCTGGCCTTTGCCGACCGATGTTCGCAACTGGTAATCCGCTGTTGTACAGAAGTCTCAGATGTCACGCCTCTGTCGTGATTTCGCTGTTTCAGACGTAATTACGTCCACAAATGAACATTTTTGGGGATCGACAACTTGTTAGAAGGTCTGGGGTAGTTATTCACGCTGAAGAAGCCCTCCAGAGTAAAGTGGTTGCATTGTATTTCTCGGCGGGATGGTGTCCACCTTGCAATCAGTTTACGCCAGTTTTGGCGGAATTTTACAACGAGCTTAAAGAGAACGAACTACCCTTCGAGATTGTTTTTGTTTCATCCGATAAAACGGCATCAGATATGGAGACATACATGAAAAAATGTCATGGTGATTGGTTAGCTGTTCCATTTGGAAGCGAAATGATTCAAGAGCTGAAGAATCGTTACCATGTCACAGCGATTCCTAAGTTGATTGTCGTGACAGATGACGGAGATGTCGTGACAGCGATGGGAAGGAAAGAGGTAACTGAAAACGGACCCAAGTGTTTCACTCACTGGGCACACGCTATCGCCATAGCAAGAGGAGAAGTTGCTACAACTGTGACTAAAGCGAGTGGTCGCTTTACTGCCGGCTTTGAATAAATTGAAAAAAAAAATATTCAGTCATATAAAGAACCTTTTGATATGCTGTGTAAGACTCCTACAATGGGCTACATGGACTCAGGTCGTTTTTACTCGGACATAAACCGATGCAGGCAATTCATATTCAATTAGTGTGATCATAAAGTAGCAGCTTACATAATATCATTTAACTGATTAAAGTCTCACCACTGTCAAATTTATAAACTCAATACTTATTTATAAACTCGTATGCAGATCCTTCCGTGTATGGCGGTGAAAGGTCTGGCTGTAGGCTAACTTGTATATCTGTATCATAATAAAGATTTCTCTTCTACAATATTCCTGCGGTGTAGGCAGTATTTTGCGTCTGGGAGTGGGGTCTAACCCTCACAGCACCCCTTTTTAGGGGGCCAGGTGTATCGCACTTGTTCGGGCAGGAGGCTGATGGCGTGACGAGATGCGTGACAGAAGGTAATGTATCACGTGACTCTTTCAATACGTAAGGGACCCTAAACCGGAATCCTTCGATGACGATGAATAGTTGGAAAGCGTTGGTCCGCTGGAGCTGCATTTACAATCATGTGTGAAATCGATCGTGATAAGGTGCGTAAAGAATTACAAGCGCTTAGGTTAATTAAGTAATTAGCTCTATGTCGTGAACATCTATTCGTCGATGGCGTGAGATTTGTGAAAATTTGGGTCATTCTGCTGGAGCGCTCATTCTATGGAATTAATTAATACTAATCCACTTTCATTAGTGAGACTTAACAGTCTTTCGTTTTGAAATGGAAGGAATTGACTAGACAACGGAGAGCTATATGTCGTTGTAATCTGACTGTAAAAAGTAGAATTTTCGACCAAGTGGCAATATCGTAGGCACAGAACATTTGTTTACATTTTGTTGAAACAATTGTTCTCAGCCTATTTAGTTATCCCTCGTTCTTCTAAGACTATTGGCAAGATGGACTTAAAAGGCCTTGCCTTAGAGTTTCTTATTTGCTTTACTTCAAGATTGTAGCATGTAGAACTAGCGCTCATCGGTTTCTACCTTGAAAGACGTGGAAAATTTACGTTCACAAATGCAAAAACAAGGGCACCGAATCTTATGTAAATCATCAAGAGAAAAAAAAAGCAATTATTTGTCGAGCCGAAATTGACAGAAGGCGTGGTCAATAAATAACTAAGCCTAACTTGAGCAAATAATACTGGATATTAGAATCCAGCTGTCTTCTTCACGTTTAAAAGGGCACCATTTTTAGAAAATTGAATTATAGTGAAATGGTATTTGGCTCACGTAATATTGCAGTCTGGGATTATAATCACAAAATCTGTTGATAAAGTGATGTAGGTCTTAATCTTATCATTCTGTAACAAGAAGTTTAGGACATCTTGGTTTCAAGTTTTCCTTTTTGGTCTTCTCAGATAGAAACCATTTCTCTGAAGCTGAGAGCTTCAACAGCTGATGGGGGACTTACAATAAAGGACAGATATTATCATCTAAAAAAATATCATTCTTGCTTTGTGGGTGAGTACCAATAATTATCATTAGTATCAAAATACTACACAAGTGAAAAGTCCTTTTTGTGCATGTTGATTGGCTAGTTCGGAAGTGAAGCATAAGCAGTATTTACCTCTGAGCAGCCAATGAGACAAAATCACATGTCAAGAGTTTAATATCTGACCATTTTTCAATATATTGAAAAAAAAAGAAGATGATATTTGTGTGGTATATACTGAAACAGTTACTCACTTGATAGTTGGTGAAAGTGGTGGTTATTTACTGTACTGCCTCACAGCTTGGTGAATATTAACCAGGTTTCACCACCCCTTCAGTTAATAATTTGGTAATCATCATACATTAGACTTACTATGAAAATTCTGATTGGTTGGGAGCATTCAGTCAACAAACCTCAACATAGCATGTGAAGTTGACACGTTAACCTAATGCCTGTGGTAGTCTGGTTCAAAGTCTGCTTAGTTTCCAAGCCCCTTGCCAATGTCATGTTCTCAAGCTTTTGCAAACTCAGAGAGAAATTCTGTTTGTGTTAAAAAAATGTAAAATAAAAGAACTATTGAATTTCCTTTTCACATGATATCAGGAATTATCAACCTTGTGTCTGTTTAATCTGCCTTAGCCATCTTCTTCAACAGATATTGATATTTCATGATATCATTCTCAACCTTACCCAATAATTTTTAATTATACTTAAAGTATGTACCATAAGATACATCATGGTGCTTCTCCCCTCCCACCCCAAATATAAATGGAACAAGCAATGTGATAAGGAAATTTAACCCTTAACTCCCAAGATCTGATTGTTCATTTGTCTTTAAAACTGCTACACATTTCATGGGAATCTTAAAAGGATAATTTGGAGTAATATCAAGAGGATAACTTCTACCTGATAAGTTTGAGTATTTTCATTACCTGTTTGCTGGATATTTAAAGTACATTTGAGGTAAAAGTTACATGTTAATCACTACCTATAATGCCCTGAGGTCAATTTCCAATTAACTACTACCTTAATATTTTTGCCATAAGGTAGTGAAGCAATTGATTGGTTTCTTGCAAATGGATTTGCAACCACAAGACAGGAAGGTATTCAGTTAGGCCAGGTGAGTGCTTTTACACACACTGTGTAATTCAGGTGGAACATGTAGTACATGGTCACCCACAGGGAATTTTAGGTTGACAACTAAATTCAGGTTCCAGGTTTGCGACAAAAACACCATTTTGTCCTGACAGTCCTAAGAGAGATTAAGTGCAATGCTTTGAGGACATCTGAACTCTGAGTGCTAACATTGATTTTGGGGGATAAACTTGGAATAAATTTGACCAGAGATAGTACTTCACGGTTTATTTAAGTGGTTTTACCTTAGGTGGCCAGGTGAAAGGTAATACAAAAATGCCATTGGGACTCAGTTGAGGGTGACCACAACAGTTAATTAAGAGGTGAAAATTTCAGAATTTAATAAGTGGAAATTTGGGGCTTTGACTTACCACAGCTTAATATCCTGCCACAGATACAACTGTAGTCTAGACACTTAAAAGGGATATTTAATTGCCACATAGGTAGGTAGCCTGCATGGCAAGTGTATTTTCTAACAAGGAAGTGCCAAGTATTCTGGACAGGTGTTGAAACCACATAATAATGAATAGGACTTATTGGAATTATTGGGTATGTAAGATCAAACAAACTGTGAAGGGGAAGAGGGAGGAAGTTTATAATTTTTCTGATCAACAGTATATCCTGTAAGTTAATTTATTTGATGTGTGTATTTGAATGTAGACTACAAGCAATCCCTCCTTTTGCAGCGAAGTTAACCTCTGCAGGGGAGGCTACTTTTTGTACACCTCACTCCCAGAATTCAGCTTATCAATATTTTTTGCTGTTTTTACTTGTGCCTCAGAATTCACCAAAAAGATGGTCTGTTTGTAGTCCTATTTATTACCTTTAGGAGTAACTAAGGGTTTTTTCACATAACTAAGCTACCATACTTATAATAAAACCCTTTTTTAACTACTGCTAGATCCTTTGTTTTTGAATTTCACATGCACCTATCTTTTAATTCTAGCAATTACTAGATGCTGACTTAGTTCATCATGTGGTGGATGAACATAACTTTGAAGATAGGGAGTTGTTCTTCAGATTCCGGCAAGATGGTAATGAACAAAATATAGTGCTTTGTTTTACTGATGTTTGTAATCTGTGAATCAGAAGCATGAAAATTAGAACCTCTCCTTCAAACACTTTATGATGGGTACTTAAATAACCTTCAGTTGATTACCAATCAAGAATTAAAATACCAAAAAACTGGATCTGTTTGACAGTTGTCCAACACCCCCAAATTGAATTGAGTAATTTAAGGGAGTTAATGAATCTACCTAGTGTGATGTTGATTCACGGTTTAGTCGTCTTGTGATATAAAACGTCCCTTTTGAGGTGGAAATGTCATACAGGAAGTAGATTTGCAAAGATGCTTAAAAAAGTATTCCTCTACCGTAGACAAATGGAGTCAGATTGGGTGTATTGGAAATGTATGGGCTCTTTATGGGGAAACTTGCAGTCATGTTCAAGAGTGTCCTAAGATTGAAAATTCTAATTTATAATTAACTCTGGGCTTAATAAAACTTTGAAAGATTTCAGCTTGTATGACAGTCAGAAACACTTACACCAATACCTCACAAAGCTGAGCCTTAAAAGTCTTCGGTTGGTGCCCTAAAATCAGATTTTAGTTGTTAGAGAAGAGATGCGGTGGATAGAAAAATGAAAAGTGCACTTTGTGCTCTGTGTCTGTATAAGAAAGTGACAGAGCAGGAACATTATTGTACAAATATGTTTATCTAGCTTTGACTTTTGACCTTGAAAACGAAGTAGAAAATAGATTACAAATTGCTGCATGACAATTGAACACAGATTGCCAAATAAGCAAATTTTTTAGTAAACCTTGAAAATTTAATTCTTTTTGCCAATTTGAATGAAATAGTTACAGCATGGAGTGATGCTCTGAGTTCACCTGACTTCAGCCAATAAGCCCATTTCTCATGCCTTATGCCCTTTTTAAAAACATGAAGCGGTACATGTTTCTATTGATGTATTCTTTGCTCTTTCCCAGATCCTCCCCATCTGTCACCAGCTGGTCCGTCTGTGGCCTCACTAAAACAGGACTGTGGCACCAAGTTTGGTTCAGCGCAAAAAAAGGGTCTTCTGAAATGGTATCAGGCATTTTTTGTTCTGAGACCTGGCGATGAAACACTGTACGAGTTCAGAACTGATTTGGTAAGAGAAACTTAAAATTTGATGATTGTTCGATACTTAATCCTCATAGCCTGAAAGAGCAATTGACTCAGATATAAATTTATACGCGAGTAAAGTTAAGTACAGTAAAAAGCAATATTAATTTACATTTCAAAAGAGAGCATGGCTGGAGTTTATTTTCCTTCTCTTTAGCATTCAACACCAACCAAGAAATATCCATTGAAAGAGGCTACCGTGAAGTTAGACCAGTCAACAAAGTTTTGTCTTTCACTAACGTTTGCTGATATCCAGAGGTCGGGTAAGTCACTGTTTTTTTTTTTACATCAGCCTTTGTGTGTAGTGTCGTATGTTGTGGTGAGAACTAAACAATTTCGGGCACAGCTGAAGTATACGAGGATGTACACAGGTTTGTACACACAGCTAGCGTAGTTTATTTTTCTTTTACTAAAGAATCTAAAGAAATTTTTGTGCAGAGTATCCAGCAAACAATTTGAAAGCATCACTAAAAAAATCTCAGCAGGTATTTGCAATCTGTTTGATAAAGGAACAAT